TAATGATGCCACAAAATTCATTTGATTTGAACGTACTCAAAAGTTTGGGGGATTTAGGACTGCACACCCCACTTAAAATTTTTCTGTGCACTTAGATTTTGTTGTTTCTTTTGTATGAAAAATGCTTTTAGAACAAGAAAGTAACGTGTTCATTTTTATTACAAAATGTCAAGTTGTTTAGGAGATAATGCAAAAAAAAACAATTTTTATTTTGTATTTTCAAAGGGCTGTAACTTTTTATGTGTACACTTTTGTACTCAGGTAAGTTGGATTCAATCAATTTATTTTTGTACCCGGAATTCTTGATTTAATTTGACATACCTTTTTGGAACACCCTGTATATAGGCTTCTAGGAATGTACGGTTGCAATCCGTGTTCCTTCTCTTCGCTTTGCCACACCTTACATCGCACAGATTCGCGCGGGTATATTTAACTACATGAAGAAAATTACATTTTTCTCCGCGCTTCGCTTTACAGTGCATAGCATAAGAGAGCGACAAAGTCTCCGTCCATTTCTGCGCCTGCAAAAGCTGGCAACTAAAACTGATAAATTTACTGTAATATATTAAAGCCACATTATGACCCCATATATCCAATGTTTAAATAAATTAAAACAAATGGGTTTGTTACATTCTTAACCAATTGAAATAACAAAAAACTGGTTTTATGACTAGGATGAAAACTATTTAAATTTTGGATTGATACCGATTTCTACAAAAAAAGTGTAGGGTGTTGCATGTGAAGTGAAAATTTACTTTCAAACCACTCGGAATCACTTGTAGACTGTTTGCCAAAACTAAATAAAACTATTATATTATGAATAACGCAGCATGATGCTGTGGTTTTTGGTCTGATTGTAATGACCAGCATAAAATTACTGTTTTTTTTAACATTTTCGTTTTTGCAAAATTTTATCATGAAAGGTTATTGTACCGAAAATATCTATAAAATGAGTAATAGGTTACAAAAACGAGAATTTGAATAAAACCTAATATTTTTAACAAGAGGTTAATATCATTAAAAGTATTAATTTTTATATGATACAGATAAATAGGTATTGAATACACGTGGAGCATCTTGAAATTTTTGATTAATTTATTTTGTTTATCTATAATCAAGAATCTTTAATGTACTGTAATTATTTGCTGAATTAAGTTCTTGAAAAAATCTTATATCTTTTCATAATTCCACAGAAATTCATTCATTGTTTTTATATAATAATCCAACAGCAGGGTATCTGTATGTGGCAACAGTTAACCCTATAATGTGCGATTTTTTTTATTGTAATAAGAAAAATATTTTTAATTGTATTAAGGTATAAACTTATGCCTAAAAATAGAAAAAAAAATCTAGCTTTCAAAGAAACATTAATTTTGTGAAACATCTTGTTATATCATGTTTGATAGATAGCGGAAAATATCTGAATGGAATTTATGAAAACAATTATTATTTTTGTTCAGACATTTTGAACATTGAATATACGAAAAAGAAGTACACTTTAGCATCTTGCATCTCTTTCTTGTGTCTTTGTACAATAGCAGTGTGAGTGACCATCCAGCATTACCTCTGTTTTAGGAATGTACGTTGTTGCTGCTGTCCTTTTTTTTCTGCTATTTGTTTTTCAATATCTGATGGCCTTTCTCTCTTCAGTAAACGATTACTTCCAACGTTGCCTAAGCAATATGCCACTTCAGCTCGAAATTCGGCAAATTTATATGCCCAATTGCCCAATGAGGCTATCCATAAAGTCCACTCCTCCCATATGTTGGTTATATTCCTGAACCAACTTGGGGCATTCAGTATTGATTTTTTGCTTTCTTTTGCTATCAAACTTTTCAACATTTCCTTTCGGCAATTCTCCAGTATATGTTTACAACAAACAAACAGTATTTTCCAGTTTCTCTAGGCTACTGACGATATTTCCACGTTTTCAAAGTCACATACGTACTCAACCAAAGGGGCGTGCATGATTTGGACGCTAAATTTAAAATTCGACGCTGAAAAATAAAATTACCTGTTTCTGCATACATGATTTGGACGCTGGGTGTAATTGAAATGTAAATGGAAAGTCAGGAATGGAAAGAAAGTCAGGTAATAAAATTCTAGAGATTAAGCTTGATAAGGTTTATTTGTCACTTTGAAATAAATACGACATACATTTTACGAAATGGAATCGATCGATACAGTTCGTTTGATACTCATGTATCCTGTTTTTAACGAACATTATTTTTTTTTTCTACTCTTGGGATCATTAAGTCTATTACTTTCACTATTACAGACACTATTAATTTTAATGTAAGTTTCAGTTTGAAAATTTTTTTAAACATCAATAAAATAGAAAATATTTGGATGAGCATGTTAAAATTATCATTAAAACGCGAGTGGAACGTGAAACGCCCAATACTCCGGGAGTATTGGATTTGAGGAAGTGTAAGACTTCCAAATTCCAGAAGAACTGGAAGAAAGGTGATGAAAATACTAAAAATATGGCTAAGCTCAGAGGAACAAAGTTAAATAGCCAAAGAGACGCTAAATCTCAAGTGAGTGTTCGGGCTAGCTTCAATGCACTGGATTGTGGCTTTAAAGATATAAACAGATAGCAAGGATACTGAGCTAATGAGACAAGAAACGAAATGAGACCTGGTAATATCAAATGTGATACAACTAAAGAAGGTCACTGGGAATAAATTTAAGAGAAAAAGAAGGGCGCCAACTCAACGATAGTTGAGATTTTGAAGTAACAAATGACCAGAAACAAATGATACTAGAGATAATAACCTGAAATCCAAAAATACTAAATATTAATCTTGTCTTGCTATATTATATACTGGTTAGTAGAACTGAAATAAAACTCAAAATAGTAACAATAAATATATTTATAAAAATGTGTATATAGATGTATAGTATGTATATATATATATATATATATATATATATATATATATATATATATATATATATATATATGTATGAACAATTTTCACTATTCTCTGACAAACTAATAACTAGTAACTAAGTAAATTTCAATGACCATCATTAAACCCTTATTATATCTAATAGCTGGTACCTGCGATAATCCTTCCGGCAGCGTCCAAAACAAGGGTACTTTTAAGACCCTCAGGTACTTCAGCGTCGAAAACATGCCCGCCCAACCAAAGTCCCATGATCCATTTTTTTGCACCATCTTCAGATGGCAACTTGCAGTTTGGAATACGGTTTGGTGATGAAAGCAGTGTCAGCACAAGGGATACTAGCAAACATGTGATGCTATGGGAACTATGGCAGGCAAGCTCGCCGGACACCACACACGCTAGAGTATGCTCGCAGTCAAGCAAAACCGAGCGGAAAAAAATATTATGAATTTTCATATTTGCTCGGTGCATGTACATGCACCGATAACTGTACAGTTTTATAACATACACGCTAGGGCTTGCCTGTCGATTATGCATGCAAGGTTAAAACTATCATGTAAACCCTAACGTGTATGGCCTCCATTAGGAAACGATTAGTTAAACAGGTTATAGCAAATTTGCTACATTGCGCAGTATAGCGTTAAATAACGAAAAAAACCTACATACAGAATTTAAATTAAATAAAATTGTAATATTTTACCACTTATTATTTAGTTTATTTGTATTTGAACATCTAAAGGCTGTAAAGTGTGATAATAATGAATAAATAACAAGTAAGTTTATTGATTTTTTTTTGTTTTTTCTTTAGCCACAAATCAAAAAATCCTATTTATCAAATCATACCTGGAAACTTTCATTTATGACATTCGTTTATCGTTATGTATATTTTTTATTCATATGTTACCTTATCAAATAACAAATAAAATAGGAAATATGTTAATGGGTAAATAACATGCATGAAAAATATTAATATTTTTATCTAAAACGTCTGTCGACTACTATCTTCAATATTATGTAAACAACGAATTGATATGTCATCCAATAACTCATTCTGAACTAGACTGTTGCCAAATGTTCGCAAAATAAGTAAATGTTAAGGAATCTATCTTATTTGCGGATTTTTTTAAAATACATAAAATAATCTAAAATTTTACTAGTGTTTGTGCAAAACGTATATATTTGTTGTTTTCTACTGCTGATAATTGGAGATCCCCCTTGGAGTTTCGTATAACTTGTGGTATTCTCTTCCGATTATTTCCTGTAATTTCTTTCAGTTTCTTATGTAGCAAACGTGTGTCGTGTTTCATATTAAGTTCTTTTATTTCTCTACAGTTTTCTACCATCCAGTGTTCTTTAGCTTCCTTGATCTGCGTTTCTACTAGTTTCTTCATTTGCTTGTACTTCTCTTTATTTGTATTTTTGTATTTTCGTTTTTCTTCTATGAGGTTTATAATATCTGGTGTCATCCAGTCTTTTTTGGCAATTGGTTTTTTTTTACCCACAATCGTTTTACCAGCGTTAAGTACTGCCGATTTCATTTCGTTCCAGGCACTATTAATATCTTTTTTTGACGCCTCTGCGAATGCTGGTGCAACTGTTTCATTTATTTGTTGTTGACATTTTTCACCCTCAGGCTTTGACAAATCTAGTCTCTGAATTTTACTTTTTTTCTGTTGTTTTCTCAGTTTAATATTAACGTTGGCAAGAAGTAGATTGTGGTCGGAGTCTGCATCAGCACTAGGATATGTTTTATCGCTTTTAAAGAGTACTTGTGTAAATTTGTCTCTGTATAGATAATTACCTATATTTCAAGGACAACCATTATGATTGTCATTAGGATGACTTGTGTTAAAATGGCGATGGAATAAATACTAAAATTATGATAAGTTTCTAAATTTTAAGATCAATAATTTTTATAATCTGACAAATTTTGTAACTAAATACTTCATTTCATTAAAAGATGTGCAAGGTTTGTTGCCTTTTTAGCGTTTAAATCTTGGAACGTGTTTAATAGTAGATATCAGTATAAAGAATAAAGTAAATCGAAGGTGGCTTTTCAGACTCAGTTTTGTTTTTTTATTATTTTAGACAAATTCAACAAATCTTGGACGACACATCAGAACCTCTAGCTGGAGAAGAGAAATTGGCAGCTTTGACAGCTGGCGAAAGAACCCACTGGGCTACTGTAAGAGCCCAGTTGTTTAACAAGGGAATTAATAGAGCTTCGCTGGATATTATCGAAAAAGCTGCTTTTGTAGTGACGTTGGATGATTTCCCGTATATCTATGATCCTGTAAGTATTATTTTACCAATGTATCCAAAATATTTGCTATAATTTTGCTAATAAAAATTAGGAAAAATTTAAATATGATAGTACATTTGATTCACAAACTTACAGTTGCAGATTACTGTTTATATGTCTTTTTATTAATTTACACGGCAAACAGAGGACTATTTCCGAACCAACAGGTATAAGACACAAAAACTGTAGTTAGTTTCAACTATTTTCATTATTAGTAAGCAATATGCTTAATCATATCATACTTCATGTAAAGCTTTTAGAGTAATTAATATAGTCCGTCTAGAAAGTATCCGGAAAAAGAGAGCAGAATGATAATTGTACGGTATTTATTTGTATCACTTGAAATATAAAATTTCAACATTCAATTATTATTCATCTCATTTACCTATACAAACTCCATTTAAATCTAAACATTTAATTAAACGTCCAGGTACACCCGAAACTAGGTCAAGGCAATAATTTTCGGTAACGGTGTTCCAGGTCTGTAAAACTGACCGAATCAAACCTTGTTTATCTCGTGACGCTGCTCGTTCCACTTCAATCTTCATCAGTCCCCATATGTTTTCAATGGGGCTAAGATCTGGAGATGCTGCTGACCACGGAATTGTTGCCAATTCGTGTTCTTGTATCCAAGCTTGAGTATAAGCAGAAGTATTGCATTATTTTGCTGAAAATGCCACCCCTCTGGATATAAAACATGACCCGCTTCAAGAAGAAAACCATTTAAGATGTCACAATATTTTGCACTATCAATAGTACCATTAACTATACAGAGAGATGTAGCACCAAGCTGAGATATTGCTTCCCAAACCATTATTTTAGTGGGAAATTTGGAAATTTGAACGGTAACATTTTCTCTTGATAGGACTTTTAGATGATTTGCACCAAGCTGGAAACAACTTTTATCAGATATAAAGACATTATTAAAATTATCTTCTCGAAAACGTTGACATAAATATATTCTTCGTTGCCTTTGCAGAGGTGTCATTGTAGGGATTTTTTTTGGATTCCTTGATACGTAGCCTTGCTTTTTCAGTGACATGCGGACAGTTTCTGGGCACACTTTTAGTCTTCGTTGATTTCTAAATCGGATCGCTAATTTTCGAAACCCGAATCTTACGCGGTCTACCCGAAACTGGTCTATGTCTCATATCTATGCCATTTTTTTATCCTCTTTATTGTCTCATACACTGCACTTTTTCAGAGTTCAGTCAATTGCACCAATTTTTTAACGTTTCATCACCCTTTCTATACTAATATTCCACCACTTTTGTTTTTTCTACTTGCGACATTATTTCTCAAATCTTAAGTCTGTTTACAAACAACAATATTTAACAGATGGTGTTGTCATGCGATTTTGTCCCTTACCTACTATCGGCACAACCTACTTGATGCATTAGTTTTGTCTTAAAATGTTACAAAAAGGAAATCTAATAAAATTAGGAAAAATATAAAATTCCGGATACTTTCTAGACGGACTATAGTTTAGGCGTTTATTAAATGTTCATATCCAGGAGTGACTCAGGGGGAAGCATAGTTTTCTTATTATCTTCGGACGGAAGTATGGTTTTTTATTTATTTTCTGTTAATTTTACTTTAATTTATTTTATTTTAATTTATTTCATTTTTTTTTTATTTTATATAATTTCATTAAGAAACACGCGTGCGACTGCGTTTACTAATCCATGTAGTGTGTGTGGTCGCTCAATTTGTCCTTACATTGCTTTCAGTTGTTTTTATTTTTTCGTACCTCTTCGTCATCAACTCCACCGTCAATGCATTTCATTCAAAACTTCATTCATTTCAAACAAAATTGTACAGAGGTTGTTTAGTAGGAGAAAATTTGAACTAAGAACAAATCATTTTTCAGAAAGACCCATCGCAGCTCGACAAGTATGGCAGAGCTCTATTACACGGCAAAGGATACGATAGATGGTTTGACAAATCTTTTACATTGTGTGTTGGAAGCAATGGCCGAATTGGATTCAACGCGGAACATTCATGGTAAGTGATGTTTTCACACTAATTTAAATAATTTAAATTTGTAGCTACTCTGGTCCTATGCGTTATAAAAGTATAAAGAAATCTTGTCAATTTATTTCGAAAATGTATTTCTGGTTTTGTGGACTACTGGAAGTATTTGAGAGCGTTAAATTGTAAAAATACGGGATCTTTTAAAAGACGTGGATTTCCCAGTACACACAGAGAATAATACGGCCTAGAAATAGGAGCAAACAAGAAGTAATGTGCTATTTTTTGCATCTAATACTACCTTTGATTTTACTAAAATATTGATGTTATGTCGAAGATTTAATCATCGGACGAAACATATACGTTTCGTATCCAAAAATATTCTATAAATGAAATATTCGATTTACTGTCTACAGTCTATATATCCACCATTCGACAACACGCGAAAAGGAGACAATAGACAAGAAAGAAGAATGCGAACGTCTAAGAAGTGACAGATGGCAGACAAGAACAAAAACAGATATAAAGAAGAAGGCTAAGAAGGGATAAACCACAGACATAAATAAGACGACCATGCGTAACACGAAGTGATAGAAGACGTTACAAACCAAAAGAAGACTATTGGGTTGTTTAAGAAGTGACAGTGGACATTTAACAAGTGGCGACATCTTTATCGACGAAAAAAATAAATATTAATTGCTCTCGATGACCTGGTAAAATATTTAACAAAAATGAAAAATTAGAATTTACATTATGGTTCAATGGTGATTAAAACATGCAAACAAATTATGGGGACGAACCCCATTCACTATACATGCTTTGACTGTAGTTTTTGCTGGTTCTTTTAACAGAGAAATTTTTTAGAAGAGAAACTTTTAAGAAAAATTACTTTCCGTTGAAAAACCTCTTTTAATAAAAGAAAAAATATTTATGAATTACGGACGCTGCTTGACCTCCTCTCCCATAAGCAGGCAGGTGGAAATGTTAAGGAAACCATATAGGTTTATCAACAATAAAATCACAAAAAACTTATATTTTCACCCGCATTTCTGCTGGACAAACAAAGACAGAAATTTTTACGTGACTCTCAGATGGGCTAAACGGAAATTTATGGTACTGGTACAAATCCTAGCACCTCGCGAAAATTGCCCGACTCCTGATTTTTCAAGATTCCATCCATTCAACCGGGAATGAATATCTTTCTCAAGCATGAATGATTTTTGGCCAGTAAAAATTCTCCTCTTAACCTTGAAGAGCCTGGTTGGCGGGCTATATTTTGGTATCACGCATATCTTATTTCCACTGTAAACAAATCAGAAATGAAACGAATACTTTAGTTAGACAAATAAAAAGGAAATACTGGCAGAGCTTCTTAAAGCAGATGGAACACGACTTCTACAGAACACAAAAAGAAATATGGAGAATGATCAGAAGACAAAGAAAAGAGATGAACGAACTAATAAAAACGAAACACATTCAGAAGGAAACATGGGTGGACTACTTTCGATCCCTATTTGCTCAAGGTGACACCAGAGATGACGACAAACGAAGCAATAAATATTGAGGAAGAAGAGGTAAAGGCAGCATTAGGAAAATTAAAAAATAGAAAATCACCAGCAGAAGACAGAATACCGAACGAACTTCTAAAGTACGGAGGACCAGATCTGAGCAAACGACTATTAAAACTAATCCAAAAAATAATAGAACAAAATAGAATTTCTCAAGAATGGAGATCAAGCATCCTAGTACCTCTCTTTAAAAAGAGGGACAAATCGGACCCAGAAAATTCATCATCATCATCACACAGCCAAATTTGTCCACTGTCGAACATAGGCCTCCTCAAGATGTCTCCACTTTCTCTGTCCTGTGCAGCTGCGATCCAGTTTGTCACTATTCTTTTAATGTCGTCCGTCCATCTGGTAGGTGGTCTTCCACGATTTCGCTTGTCTGCCCTTGGCCGCCATTCTAAAATCTTCTTTGTCCATCTGTTGTCTCTCTGTCTTGCGACGTGTCCTGACCATTTCCACTTCAACTTCGTAATCCGTTTTATGACGTCTTCCACTCCAGTTCTTCGCCGTATCTCATCATTTCCTATTCGGTCTCTCAAAGTTACGCCAAGCATAGATCTTTCCATTTTTCGTTGTGCTACTTGTAACTTTTTTATTGATGCTTTAGTCAATGTCAGTGTTTCAGCTCCATAAGTGAGCACCGGAAGTACGCACTGGTTAAATGCTTTTCTCTTTAGCTTTATTGGGATGTTTTCCTTAAACACGTCTTTTAGCTTGCCATAGGCTGCCCATCCTAAAGCTATTCTTCTAGTTAATTCGCATATTTGGTTGTCTCTACTTATTTGTATTTCGTGGCCCAGATATATGTATTTGTCAACCGTTTCAATATGCCAGTTTTCTAGTTTCAATGGTCCACTAGGTACTAAGTTGATCATCATTTTAGTTTTCGCAAAGTTTATTTCCAGTCCTACTTTTTGGGAGACTCGTTGTAAATCTTGTAGCATTTCGTTGGCCTCCTTTAAGTCGTCGGTTATTAGAACTATGTCATCTGCAAATCGTAGGTGGTTCAGCCTTTCGCCATCGACACTCAAACCTCTGTTTTCCCATTCTAACATCTGGAATGCATGCTGCATTACGGCATTGAATAGTTTTGGTGACATGTTGTCTCCTTGTCTAACTCCCCTTTTAGGTTTATTTTTTGAGTAGGGGTGTGGAGGTTTATTGCTGTTGTGGCATTTGCATATATATGTTGAATAATGCTGGTATATCGGTAGTCGATTCTACAATCTCTCAAAGTTCTTAAGATAGCTACCATCTCGATAGTGTCAAAGGCTTTTTTATAGTCAACAAATACTAGAACTAGTGGCCGGTTGTACTCTATAGTTTTTTCAATTAGGGCCTTTAGACAAGTTAGATGGTCATTTGTACCATACCCAGGGCGGAAACCTGCCTGTTCTCTTGATTGGCATGTTTCTAGTTTGTTCTTAATTCTGGCAGTGATAATTCGAGCTAATAATTTATACAGGTGACTTAGAAGACTGATTGGCCTATAGTTTTCGAGGTCTGTTTGATCTCCTTTCTTATGCATGAGGAGCGTTATAGAATTATTCCATTCAGCTGGTATTGCTTGGTTTTCTAAGCATATATTGAAGAGCTGCTTGATTGTCCTGATGAGAGCAGAGCCTCCGATTTTTAGCGCATCCGCCACTACTCCATCTTCTCCTGGTGCTTTGTTTTTTTTTTCATTTTCTTTAGAGCATGGTAAATTTCAGCCGTTGATATGTCGGGAATATCTTCTGAACCTTGATTCATAATTTTTTGTTCTGTATGTTCTGTCGGGTTTAAGTCCAATTTATTTGTGTATAGTGTTTTATAGAAGTCTTCTACTATCTCTAGCATTTCGTCTCTGTTGGACGTTAGTTTGCCATTCTTTTCCTTAAGTCTGATGATTTCTTTTCTGCTGTTCGTCAATTTCCTTCTTAATATCTTCATGCTCTTGTTGTGCTCGATTGTCTGCGAGATTTTCTCATTTTTATATGCCCTTATGTCCTTTTTAATTGCTTTTGAGACCTCTTTGTTGATTTTATTTATGCTTTGTTGTTCCATACTCTTATCTTTTAGCATTTCTCTTCTTTCTTCCATTTTAAGTTTGGTGTTAGCAGTGATTCTCTCCTCTCTCTTGTTACCTGTACAACATTTTCTTTGAGCTTCTGCTATGGTATGGTATTAGTAATTACTAATACCGTCTAGTACCGTATAGTCCCTGAAAATTGCAGAGGAATTAATTTAATAAACACAACACTAAAATTAACAACCAGAGTGATAACAAATAAACTGAATGAAATTATAACATTAGCAGAAGAACAACAAGGTTTTAGGTCGGGAAAATCATGTACCGACGCTATATTTATAATGAAGCAAGTGCAAAATTATTAGAATACAATAAACCGGCATATCTATGTTTCGTGGATTTATGAAGGCATTTGACCGGGTCAAATTAAAAGACGTTATCTACTTACTGCACGCAAGAGCCAGAAAATTTAACATGTTAATTGCCCCAAAAAAGACAAAATTCATGGTTAGAACAGCAAATTTACTAAGATGTAAATTGGAGCTGGAAGGTCAGATAACAGAACAAGTGATAGAGTTTAAATATCTAGGTATCCCATTATCTAGCTACGGAAAGCTCGAAACTAATCAAGTGAATAGAGCAAATAGAACCGCAGGCTGCCGAAATGAAACAATATGGAGAAATAAAAATATCGGGAAAGAAACGAAAGGCAGAATTTACAAAACAGTCATTAGATTAATAATGACATACGCCGCAGAAACAAGACCTGACACAGAGGACAAAAAGGATGTTAGAAATAGCAGAGATGAAAACACTAGAAAAATTGATGGTAAGACACTATGGAACAGAGCTAGAAGTACAGATGTGCGACGTAGATGCAAGGTGGAGAACTGGGTAAGAAATAGAAGAGTAGAATGGAACGATCATAATAATATAAGCCGGATGAAAACAAATAGATAATGCCGTAAAGACGGCAAGAGACAGTTCCCCAATAGAAAGACGATCAGTAGAAAGACCACGAAAACGATGGAATGACAACTTACTGGAGGCATATTGAAAAACAGACAGAGTCATGTCTATATAAATAGAAGAAGAAGCCTATCTTGATTGTAAACTCAATAATTATTTTTAAAATTTCTATTGGCAGAACAGAGAAACTATGAATTGAAGAGAGAGACGGCAAATAACCATCTTGGTAGAAGCATCTTGACAAATGTAAACAAACACTTATTGTGCTTTTTTGTGAGACGCAATTCTTACAGAGAAAGTGATTTGGCCAAGCCAGTTTGAAAATATACTTTTCAATTTTGTTTATTCTCGTTCGAAGAAACACTAAATTGTTTTTCTTCGAGGATTTTAATAGTGGCTTCCCACGATCGGCAATCCTACAGATCATCGCGGACAGCCGATCAGCACGGACGGCAATGCACCGCAGACAGCTCTTCCTACGGTCCGTGACAGTCTGTGTAGGTCCGTGACAGTAGTGTTTGATTACATCATAAAAAGGCCACTCAGGCTTGTAAACATCATCAGCCCCACTACCAGTTCCCATCGATTCTCTAACTTTTGTTTTTTGCCTTCTGTATGTCGACATTAAATTATCTTTCTTCTTTTTTAATTCTTTAATCGAAATAGTAATATTCTTCAATTGATTTTTTTATTCGGTTCCATGCATCGTATGCATCGTTCCGGTTCTTATGTTCTGGCGCCGTAGAATTCCATAAACTTCGTTCATCTTGATACAAATTTAAAAAATTAAAAACAACTTCGTTTGTCCGTTCCATTTTTCAGCAAAAAACTGCAAAACAACTTTGACAACACTACAGACAACTACTCGTGTCAGCGAATGAAAAACTTATGACTTGCACTTGTCGTCTATTAAAACACAGACGCGCTAGGATCGCGTCGCACGAGCATATACCGCACCTTTGATGTTACCGACTCTAGATGGATAGGACGCACCAGCACGGACGTGCCTGTGCTACCACGGACGAGACCCTTCCCACGGTGCGTGGTGCGTGCTGGTCCGCTTACGTCCGCAATATCGCCGACCGTGGGAAGCCGCTATAAGATGTTATCTGAATGTTTATGAAAAACTTTCATCGGAATATATAAATGTAAGTCGCAGAATTAAAGCCCCATTCAGAAAGGAATTTGAAATACTTGAATTAAAACTTTATACAGTATGGGATGATAAAAAAGCTCTTGAATAGCTTAATAGTGTTATTTTATTATAATATTGGGTTTATTGCTGTTTATTAAATTATTTCTAAATGTATATTCAACACTACAATAAGGATATGCCACGTGTTATGTTATAGGGCAGACGCAGCGGTGATGTCGCACCTGTGGGAGTACGTGCTGACCTCGGAATCTGAACCTCGGTAATAAAAATATGTAGACATTTGGCCTAGCAGGTGATGGAGTATTGCAGCGCCTTATTTTTTTGCTGTGTCTAACCTTTCTTTTATTTATTTTTGCGTATATTTCGAATTAAAGTATGATTCCATCAAAATTGATTTTTTCGAATTTTTGCGACAGGTTTGTATCGATAATAAAAAGAAGAGAATAAAATGTCATGACGTAGTAAATCATACTTTAATTAGGAATAAATTAGATAGCATTTTTAATTTTTAGCTGTTTTTTATTCTGTATATATTTTTATTGGTAGGGCTGATGCGCCAGTTTGTGGGCATTGTTGGGAATACGTTTTAACAGATGAGATCTCTGGCCGGTAAATTTAACGTTTGTAGTATATAAACTAACATTCTCGTATCATTTGTGACTTATCGCATGCTGCTTATCTGTGTGTTAACATCATCTATTGCCGGGTCGATGGATTACCTCTATGTCATTACTTAAAGCCCATGATAAGCCCACATATAAGTCAAGTCTTCTTTAATATGTTCTCAAATTTTCATTTCGAAAAATTAGTTTCATCAGTTTTTGAAATTCTTTGTAATAATTGAATTTTAATAACAAAATATTAGTCACAAAAAAACTAAAAAATTATTTAGAAAAAATACGTATACAAGTACAAATATTCAAATTCGAAAATCACGAATCAAAGCGATCATTTTTCCTTTGCCTAATTTCCTTTATCAGTTAGCAGCACTTACGCCAATGTTTTATGAGCTTGCTTTTTAAGATAAATAAATTTATAATTTCAATTGGCAGTAAAGCGCCAATCTCTCAAAAGTACCAATTTTTTACATACAGTTCACTTCATGTTTTTAACTCTTATGACACTTGCAGCATTTATCCTAAAAACTTGTAATAAAAACGATATTTCCCTAAATTTTTGTGAGCATGGCAGAAGTAATAAAGTCATCGATGTACACGTGATTTTTTTTTGCAAAAAAAAATGTTATACGGGGACACATACAAAAGTTTTGACAGTGTTAATAATCTCTAAAAATACTCAGTTCTGTCAAATCGATCAATCAGTTGGTACACTTCATCTAATTTACCTACCGATGCACGTCATCGGCATCATAGCCCGTGACGTCACATGATACCAACACAAAATATTTAGGCGGTAGGTGTGTTCTTTTTTAGAATCACTTTGCCGAGTACACTGGCATTACAGCCACTAGACATATTTTATTATATACGCGTAGAAATAATATTTAAAATTTCTATTAATGTCAACTTAAAGAAATACACAATAATATGTTTCATTTAATTTGTATAAATGCACTATAAAGCGTTTTTTATAGAACATTTGTTCGGAACACACTGTAACTGTAATCGAACGAAGGTGCAATTTTGGCATGACTTGGTAGCACTTATTTGACAGTTGCGGTGTTGACACTTTTTGTACTTTATTATTTTGAATTTTAAAGTGAATACCTCTTGTTTTGTATTTTTACCTATTTAATAAAATCTGTTCTTTTTAGAACAAAATTAGTGTGTTTTATTTCAAAAATGTCACGTAAGAATTTAAATAGTCGTTGTAAAGAGATGGTAATACTTTTGCAATAATTGTGATCTATTTGATTTAAAATGGAGTTAGGATTTTTTTATACTTTGGCAACTATGTCAACTTCGATCTCTGACGTAGATAATGACGTGCATCGTTATGTAAATTAGATGAAATATATGTGTTTTAGTCTACTTTTTTTGGAACGTACAGGAAAAAATGATACTACATTTTTTTATCTCAAATATTAAAGGTGTAACTGATCATTAATGACATAGAAGTAAACGTGCACTGACCCAATTTAGTGTAGTTGTAATATTGTAGATAAAACCGTGTTCTCAGTGCCAGTGCCAACAATTTTCTAAAATTAGTCTAAAGCTACTTATTTGGTAAATATTACAGTTTAAAATAAATAATTTGTAATTATGTTAGGACAATGCGGTTCTTGCACTGAGAAACTACAAAATCAGTATACGTGTTATCGACATTAAAAAATATATTTGTTACGGATTTTAGTTTTGTCGTCCAATAACATAGTGCTCCTTTAAAGTCTTCCCATTCCCTCCGAACTATGTATAAAACTTAATTAATAAATTTTTGGTTGTAACTGCGCTAAGACACCTATAGTTTTTATGATGTTTTGTGGACGATGAAGGATAAAGAGAGTAGAACAGTTGACTGTTATTTATGCGGTGAAACAAATATGACAACATAGCCGGCTAATTTGCTATTTTCCTCTTATTTCTAATGTGGCTTCAATGGTCGTAAAAATAAGTCTTACAGAATATTTTCTAATATTGCAAAAGAAGCCAGGTAAAGCTGATATCTACAATTGGTATTGTTTGGGTAAACTTTAGTTAAAGACCAAGTCTCACCACACTTAAAAATGGAATTTTAGTGTATGTCTACAAGGGCGGTCCAATAAGTACTTAGCCTACAATAAAAAACGAAAACTTTAGAAAAGTGGCGATTTATTTCTCAACTAAGTCTCCTTTTAGCTCAGCCTAGTAGGCCTGACTACTAAAAACTCCTCATTCGACTCAAATTTCTGCCCTGCTAGTGACTTTTTCAAGTTTGAAAAAAAGTCAAAAGGGGCCAAATCTGGAGAAAACAGTGGATGGGGCAGCAGTTCGTCGCCCAATTCGACCAATTTGGCCCTGCGACTACAGAGATCTGAGCCGGTGCGTTATCAAGGTGAAATAGCACTTTTTTCTTCGCTAACTGACAACATTGCTAATTTCAATATAATAGTTTGAAACTTGGCTTCGAATTGGTCCAATAATTCGGCATAGTAGAGTCTTGTGACCGTTTTGTCCTTTTTCAGGTAGTCGTTGTAGATTACACCTTGTGAATCCCAGAAAACGGTGACCATCAGCCTTTGGGCGGATAGGACAATCTTCACTTTTTTCGGAGCACGTTCGTCGGGTTAAGTCCACTGTTTCGGCTGTTCTTTGGTCTCTAGTGTATACCAGTGGATCCATGTTTCGTCATGGTCACGAAACGACGCAGAAACTCCTTCGGATTGCGCTTAAACAATGTCAAACATTGCTCTGAAGTGTAAAAAGTGTAAAATTTCATGCTAGATATGACAAACGCGGTCTTTTAAGATGACTTTTTTGAGATCAATTCAATTGGTTGAGATCAGATAGCTTAGACAGAGATCTCAGCTATCTCGCGCACCTTTAATCAGCGCGAGGTAGTGCAGACCTTTAATACGAGATCGTGAAGTTTTCTCACGATATCCTCCGATATGCTAGCCGTTTTCAGGGCACCTAGGCGTGGCTCATCAAAAACTGACCACGTTGAAACTCATTAAACCAATTTTTGACTGTCACCATCGAAGAAGAGTCACCGTACGCAGCATCCTCAGCGTACTGTTTGATTGCTCTGTGCGATTTTTATTCAAAAAACAAGAATCGAATCACTAACTGATATTACTCTTTTTTCCATTTTTATAAAATCCGCGACATACCCTCATCCACACGTGGTCGAAACAAAACTACGAGTCAGATTCAGCTGAAATTTTGGCATTTGCCGTTTTCGGAAACGTACTACATAATAGTAAATTTCCTTTGTGATAGTGGCGCCAACGAACAGTACTTATCGGACTGCCGTTTTATGTACAAAAAAACTGAGCAGAATATGGACGATATGTTTATAGCGAACTGCCAATATTGCTCATATGCATATAATAGTTTGGCCTTAAAACGGCAATGTTAGCCTACAATATATACATATAAAATATGAACCTGAACCCCATTTGGACTAGAGCGGTGGATGCCCAACACTACATAACGATCCAGTGCCAGTCCAATACCACAAAGCGTTTGTCTTTCACTGAGAGTCAATATAAGATAATGTTCATATTTAAACGGTCATCATTTTGAAACGGCGCTGTGGAATCACATACACATCTATACTAAATGACACAAGAGCTCTCAAATTTATGTAGTATCAAATTCTATATACTGTTATCAATGACGTCATATTTCCGACATATGTCAATAAATAAACTCAATCAGAATCAGAAACTCAGTCAATCAGAATGTGGAAACTGGAAGAATATACTGACATGTTCGTACGTGTTCCATACAATCTAAAGACTATCTATCAAATCTATCAAAATCATGGCGGTAATATTAATCCACAATTCAAAGAATAATTAATTAATTGAGACGGGAAACCAGAATCTCGGTAAATATCTTGAAACATACTGATTGACACAAGAGCTTTCAAATGATGTATTCCTTACCATATGATCTTATTTAAAATTACCTTACAAAATGACGCCCGTCTGCTATAAGCACCATAAAAACTATGAACATAGGATGCATTTATATGGTGTATGGCATGTAGTACATCATTTAAAAGCTATTGGTTCATTTCAAATATTCAACAACAAAAAAACAAGAAAGAGATATTCTTTGACTAGTGGTCAATGCAAGATAAATTTCAGAGTTCAACGGTCGCTATTTTGAAAGAGAGCAACATAATCACATAAATCTCTAGCAGCATACTGAGTAACACAAGAGCCTTCATATTTATAAATTAGATGCCATAGATTAACGACGTCGTACTTTTGACAGATGTCAATAAATAAACAAATGAATTCTATCAGAATGTTGAATTCTTCCAGAAAACTGGAAAAATTAATTTATGTGTTCGAACGTTTTCTGTAAAAGCTTGGGAAAATATTAGGAGTAATCGAAATTTTTTGACACTGTCACCATTGAAATCTAAACAGTTGCTATTTTAAAACGTCCAACAAAGTTGTATAGAAATCAACGAACAAGACTAACTGACACAAGAGCTTCCAAGTGATATTACTTACCATGTGATATAATTACCTTACAAATGGCGCCCATAAACATAAAAACTATGAAGTGTATTATTGTAGTTACCCTAATATATTGTGTTTGTTCAGGAAATGAAAGGATGGAACTTTAAACGTGCGCTATATAATTTTGTTATAGTAGAGTCTTGACATGTTTCTTGCTCAAATACATAACACATATACATATCTTAAGAGAATCAAAAAGTATCAAAACATATCAGTTGTAATGTTTATAATTCATTTATAAATCACACACTGAAAACACTTGTTTTCTGTATTGAAAGAAAAGATTGATTACATCACGACAGCTAATTTGGTGGCAATAGTTATCTTCCTTCTACCGTTTCTCATTTCTTAATTAACATAATATGCCCCTTTCGCACTATAGCCCAGAGAATAAAAAAGAATAATATTAAATTGTTTTCGTTGATGGCCATCAAAGTAGATGGTACCTTTGTACGCTAACCACTGAAGTGGGAAATATTCTGTAGACATTAGTTGGACCTTTCTGGTTTGAATTTGTATCAGCTTGAGTTGTCTGGCGAAGCGGGAACGCTGAAATTACGTTATAATACTCTATTGATACAGATTCAAACTAGGAAGGTTTGGCGAATCTGTGCTCCAACAAAAGTATATTCTTGCCTTAGTGAAACTAAGATTTAATGCTGACAAGAATATAAAGCACCAGATCGAATAAATTATCAACATGCGTTTTCGGAATCTTATTAAAATCACTAAAAAAAACCATAAACCTATGTTTATTTTGATCCTAGCGGCTCTCTGTAATTATAAATCCAGAGTCGATAAGATTTATAACACTGTATAATCCATCCATTTAACATTTATCCAGAGCTAAACTTGAAATTAAAAGAATTGTTCTGCGTATCTGATACTTCCAATGAGGGCCATTTGTCATGTCATCAAAAAAAATTTAATTATGTTACCAACAGTAAGTTAAAGACAGACAAAAGTGTGAAGGTTAAATCATTAATGCTATATTAAATTCTTGGCCTAATGGGCCAGAGAAAAAGTTTACAAATACTGAGATGGATCAAGAACTTTCATTAAAATATAACTATACAAAAAAGCAAGCGCAATAAAGCAAGCTAAAGACAATTCATTTAATTTTTAAATAAAAAGATATAGGTTCCGTAAGGCAGAGATAGATACGGTGGAGTTTTAGCAGATGGTGGTGGTAAATATTTACAACAATAAAGAAAAACTAAACGAATAGGAGGGTTACATTAAAACAATAATTAATGATCTATCCTAGATATGCCTAGACATGAACCAATCCAACTTTAAGCTTGACTAGAATATTAATGGTAGCCAGACACAACTAAGGAAAAATGTGAGATTTAAATCCAGATATGTTATAATGGATTTATAACATGGTGGTAAAAACAACAATTGATTGTCTCGGAATCACAGGGGCTATGAGGGGCACACCAACGCCAACTATGTCCACTACTGAACCTCCCTTCTTTATAAATCCAAAACCTAACAAAGGACAAAGTAGAGTTTGACTCGGCCTTAAATAGTTTTGGTTTTTAGGAAAATTATTGTTTTGTCCATGTTTCAGCAAGTGATGCCCAAACTGCATGGAAACCAATTCTAAACAAAAACGTGGAAATTATATTGGTAAATGAGATCGCGCCCACTCGTATGCGTATATCAATTGTTGTCGAACATCAGAAAGAAGCAGAACTGCTTCGACAATGGCAATTGTAAAAACCCATTCCTTCTCTAATATATCATATCACGTCAACCCATAAATGTTGATTCATATGAGAAAGGTAGCTTGTTGCCAACCAGCTGTTGTGAATTGATATATAAACTGAGATCAGTAGTTCTCGGTGTTTTATTTATAAATATGAATTTTCGACAAGTATCAGTCTAGTAAACCAACTATACTCCATTCCACGAATATACGACTGTTTTAAATTCGCTTTAAGGTGTCGACTTAAATGGTGCTGAATGTGCTGAATTGTACAATAGTAAATTCTCCCCATTTTTAAAATACTGTTATGACAGATATACACCTTAGATTTAAATATGAAGTTATGATCCAAATATAGAATTGATAGTTTATAGAATAGTTGTAATTCAGATTTTGATGTATACTCGTATAATTACTCTCATTGACTTTAGTATTGTAAACAAGTTGGTTTTTGAATTAAGTGATTTAAACAAAGTGTAACAATATTTAAGTGATTAAATAGTTTAATTTATTTAGTCGAATATTCAATTAGTATTAAAAAAACAAAAAAAACTTACTCTTACTCTTATTCTCCTTATCACCATTACAAACAAATACACTACACTAAACTCTCTCTTAACGGACACGTCTCTTCACCGGACACCTCTATACGGACGGTTTTTAAAACTAAAATCAGTCGGCGATTTATGAAACTATGTAAATTTTCGTTACTTTTTAATATCTGTAATTACTCGGTACTTTAACTATCAATAGCCGCCATGTTATACCCGCTACTTTCGGAACTTTTAAGAGTATATCCACTCAAAGCAAACCAAAAACTAACAAAGTGGAATACTAGATTCTTTTTCTGCTTTCTGAACCTTCTGCCAATTTCTTTTTATTTATATTAAAAATAATATATTTCTTTTTATTACCGTTGTAGTACCTAGTAATAAAGTAATAAAGATACCCGGCTCGCCTCTTCGGTGTTTACATTTCACCGAAATCCAACCCAAATGGCCGATGAACACATTTTAACTTCAGAGAGGTCATTGTATTTATTTATAGAAGCGTTTACATAATTTTTTTTGTTATTTTCGGATTAATTTTTACAATAAATTTTGCGTCTATCTGAACATCTATTAACTGAAATAATTTTAGTTTATATGTCATAGTAACACAAGATCCTTTTTTATGGAATAATAATTAGACCAATTTACTTTTATACTTCTACTTGTACAGTAAAATATTCGTTGTAGCAATAATTCCAAACAGTCGTATATTCGTGGAATAACCTATATTTATCGTGTATAAATAACATAAATTATTTTTAACTCGTTAACACTTTTGACTATGTTTAGATATGACGAAACTGGCAACACCATTGGTAAACCTGAAATTGTTCCACCCACGCCGATCCGCTTGAACTGGGAGTTGAAGTTTGAAGCCCAAGACGCCATAGAAAAGTCCTACAACGTCGCCTGCGACCTCATCAAAGACATCAACTTGCGAATCTTCGTCCACGACAGTTTCGGAAAGGGCTTCATGAAAACGTGTGGTGTCAGTCCGGATGCTTTTATACAGATGGCGCTGCAACTTGCATATTTTAGGGACGCCGGGAAGTTCTGTCTGACATACGAAGCCACTATGACTAGACTTTACAGGTAATTTGTTTTTGTGCAAGGTCCCACCTTTTTAGCGTGAGAAGAGTTTTCCCACACTGGTGCTCCAAACTCGGCGGCAGAAAAACATAATGCTAAGGCAAAAGTACGGAGAGTATGTGGTTGTACTCCCTATTTTGCGTTTGTTAGTTTGCGAATGGTATTATTTCTGGCGCTTACTGATATTTCTTGATATCTTGACAGTAATATCGATAAGACAGAGTTCTATCCAGACGTACGCCGAGGTTTTTTGGCGTCTCATTGTGTTCCAGCATCTGACCACGCCATTCCACCTCCAGTGTCCTTCGGGCATGCTTGTTACTAAGGTGGAAAACACACACTTGGGTTTTTGTAGGATTGGGTTTCAGATGGTTTTCTACACTGTCTTGTTTGTTGGTTTTTGGGTTGGTTGTTGGTGTAAATGTTGTATAGCATCGGCGCGACAACACTCTCTGTTGGAGTCCATTTTTTTTATTCCTCCACCGACTGTTCTTGGACTGACGCGTTACGTAGAAGCGTCTATTCTGGAGAAGACATTTCATTAACCATGTTAGCCGGAAATCCTTTGTAATTTCGTAGAGTCTTACCAGCAGCCGTTAATGGTTAATTGGGTCATAGGCGGCATTCAGGTCTATTAACGCTACTCCTGTTATTTCTTTCCGTTCAAATACATCTTCAATATATTGGGTGAGATTAAGAGTTTGACTGCAGCAGCATTTTCCGGGTCGAAACTCTGCTTGTTCAGGAATAATTTTAGTATCCACGAATTCAGCGATCCGGTTCAGTATCATTATTTCGAACGCTTTGAAAAGGTGACACAAAAGAGAGGCAGGTCTAAAACTCTCTGTATCCGGCGGATCCTTTCCTGGTTTTAAGAGGGCCACCACTCTAGCTTTCTTCCAGATTTTGTTGATTTGGAATGTACGGACGCAACAGTTCATCATTTTTACAAGTCACTCTAGGATTTTTGGTCCAAAGTGCTTTATTTACTCTGTTCGTATATCGTCTAGGCCAGCCGCTTTATTATCTTTCATTTGGTGGATCGCACCGCTAATCCCCTCCAGACAAAAGGAGGTACCTAGAACATCCTCCTCTTCGTCGATATTTCGTCGTACTCTCACTTTGTTCTTCTTTGTTGTCGTCTTATCATTCGTCAGGAGACGATGGGCTATCTGATCGGGTGTGATTTTTGTCAGATTGGGTGCCGGGGCAGTCTGCTGTTTTGTTCCATGTCTAGACTCGTGAACAGTTTCCACCACCTGTCCGTTTTGTTGAAGGATATCGCACGTAGCACTTCCTCCCCCTTCGTGAAGACGAAGGAATCGTCTTCATATAGCTGCTCGTATCTTTTAAGTAGGGGTTTAGATTCTTCATTTAGCCTCGCTATGTATTCGGTTCGGAAAACTCTAGAAATATATATTTTCGTGATATATTTTTTTTATTTACAATCAAGGCGCATTAATCCGTGGATATTAGCGCCGCTTGGTATTACAATTTTTTTTACAATTTTGGATACATACCTATACAGATTTTGACATACTTAGATTAGAAGATTATACATTTATTAGTACACGCACTGATGTTTAAATTTCGTTGTATATTCCTATTGATTTTACAAAACTTAAAACAGGCGAATAGATACAGTTTTCTTCTAAACACTCGCGTACCGTTTTACACTTTTTCCTCTCATTTGAATATGCAGGGCATTCGATTAAGAAATGTTGGACACTCAAACTTCATTGGATGAACACTTCCAGTAATATGGTATTCGTGTGTTAAGCGTGTATGTCCTAATCTGAGCCTGTTTATTATAATTTGGTCTTTCCTGTTGCTACACATATTCTTCCATCTTGTAATCGTTGTTTTTATGTCTCGTAGTTTTTGTTGAGATTGATTCCATTGTTGAAGCCACCGTTCTTTCATTGTCGAGTTAATCCGGTGATGAAAATCTTTCTTATAGGTAGGTTCTATCAAGTCTTCGTTGTTAACTGAAGATTTGGCGGTAGCATTTACTCTTCGTTACCATGTGTACCTATATGTGATGGAATCCACATAAATTTTACAATCGTATTCTTTTGCTGAAATTGGTACAAATGGTTCTTTATCAATCGCAACAATGGATGAATTGGGTAAATGGTGCCTAAGCTACTCATGGAACTTAAGGAATCTGTTATTATTAGGCACCTGTCTAAGTTGGCGTTCAGTACATATGCTAATGCTTTGTAGATTGCAAATAGTTTTCCTGTTACTGTGCTAAAATTTGAGATTTTGTATGAAGCAGTGTAGTTCTGTATGAGGGCACATCTCACTCCTTTTTCTGATTTGGAGGCATCAGTATAAATATGTTGGTATTTCTGGTACTCATCAATCTTACTGTAAAATTGTTTAACTATAGAGGAATCATTAAGTTGATTACTAGTCTTTGTTAAACTCAAGTCGAGGAAAGGTTTTCTGACCATCCAAGGAGGAGCGGTTAAAAGGGTGGTCTGGTATATTTTAGGGAAAACAATATTATTGCTGGTCATGTATCTATTCAGTCTTTCATAAAAAGGGGGTTTAGATCTTTTTTTGTTAAGATATGTTGTGTAAAAACGAGAAACAAAGACATTGTTTCTGATGGGATTTTCACTATTTGCTGAAACGTTTGCAGCATATGCTAGCTAGATATTGTCTTCTTAATTCCAGAGGGATTTCTCCTACTAAACATAGTAAGCTATCTGTAGGTATGGTACAAAAAGCTCCTAAGGCTATTCTTACAGCAGCATTTTGGATTGTTTGCAACTCTTTCAAAAGTGATTGACTGGTAGACCCATACACTATTGAAACGTAATCGACTTTAGATTTAATAAGGCTTTTATATACTGCCAATAAGATATATTGGTCACATCCCCAATTCTTAGTAGATAATCGTGATATTTGTTTTACGATTTGTACAAATTTATCGTATGAATCAGAGCACGGTACTAGCTGGAAAACTTCTTGATCTAATGCTTTAGCGAATTTTTCCCATTTTGCTTTAGTGAAATTGAATCTTCTCTTGAAAGGAAAGGAAGTTATTGGCCTGTCCTGTGTTTTTGGGGGGCTGCGCTTCCAACAATTTTTGTCACCTGGTTTCCAATGGGTTGTAACCCCTGCGCCATCTTCTACTGTTGAAAGACGCGGGCTGTTTTGGATCATGAATAAGTTTGAGGTTCATGTTTTCAGTCCAATTTTCTAGTTTTTCGCCATTGGAGTCTGTTTCGTTATACTTCCACGCGATACTGTGACAGTTGAAGTTACTCAGTATGAATTTTACTTGCTGTGATCCTGCTGTGAAGTTATCCGATTCCTCAAAAACAAAGTCAGTGTTTGGCGGTTTGTATGTGCACGTTATCGTACAAGACTTTAGTTCTACTGTGAGGATCTCGATGTCATCTCGATGTATTAAAGATGTGGAAACTATTTGATCTGAAGAAGACTGCGCTACCATACTGGTCGTGTGGTCTCTCCAGTACAAGTTTCATATCTTGAATCCTTGGTCTGCGGCTTGCAGTACCTCGATGGGTTTCTTGAACCAGTAGGACATCGACACCGTGTCCTCTGCATATATTAGACAGTAGATCTTCCTTATTTGCTGATAGTCCTTCAATATTAATTGAAGTAGTCATCAAAATTGGCCTTGACAAAGACCGTTTTGGTTGCGTTTGCATCTGTGTTGGTGCACTGGTGGTGAAAAGATTAGCCGACATTACTCGTTTCCAGGGAACGCCCGATTTCTTTCATATGTGATCACAATGTACTAGGAGGCTCCTATCATGTCCCCCTTTTTGTTATTAACAATTTACCAGACCAGATAATTTGTTCTTAACAATTTAATTGTTTAAATAATTGTATCTCCTAACCTATTAGAGATATTTAATTTTACCAAAATGAAAATTGTTCCTTTTGAAAAAATGAACAAAATGGCGTTTGATAAACTTTGATCATGATAAAATTAAGCTATAAACTTTGTAAAAATTTTGAAAATCGGATTTCTATGGCACTTAGTATATGTGGGGAAACATGAAATCAGTTTTTATTTTTAGTTACGAAAAAATACTTGTAAACTATGATAGGTAGAGCAATTTTGATTATCGTCGTAAAAAGACGAGTCGAAATAATATCTGATATTTTACTCCTGTTATTAAATTAATTTTGTCGTTACTATAATACTGAAATATTTTTATTGTAGGGAAGGCAGAACGGAAACTCTCCGACCTCTTAGTATTCATTCAGTAGCTTGGGTAAAGGCCATGGAAAATAAAAACTCGTCTGTAGAGGAGAGGATTAAATTGTTAAAAACTGCCTGCCAAAACCACCAAGTAAGTTACTACTTTTAAACATAAATTTGGATTTTTTCTTCTGATTTATGAATTTATCCCTCTGTAACCTACAATATTTGCAAATTAATGTGTAGTATACAACCAACGATTTCGTTGACTCTACCTCCCTCGGTTTCCACCGCCTTACTAAAAACACTGCTTGTATTTTTTGTGGCGCCAGATCAAATCTCTTGATTCGCCCATGCCTCAACCACTTAGTTTAAAGTTCCAGCTACCACCATAGCCGACATATCGTCAGGGTAGTCAACGAACCGGACACCTAGCGACATCTACAGATGCTGGATCTCATGTCCCACAAGATGGGCCCCAAAACAGATGTTTCTGGAATACCCGAACTTATATTGAAGCTTTCTCCCTGGTTTAAATAATATTTTCCTATCGTTTCTTTATCAATCAATCGCCCCTAAGCTGAAGGTTTTTAGTAAAGGCAGTCCCATGCGCGTTTCTTAATAAAATAAAAAATAACATAAAATAAAATTAAAATAATATAAAATAAGTAAAAAAATAAAATCAAATCAATTGGAATGAGAATAAAATAGATCAAATGAAATGAAATAACATTAAAATAAAATAAGTAAATAAAAATAAAATAAATTAAAATAACATAAACAAAAATTGAATTCAACAAATTTTTTAAATAAAATAAAGTAAATTAAATTTCATTTCAAAACAATCACTTGTAATTCTCGGTCACTCCCGAAGTGCCACATTCCATTTTTTTAGATTCATTGTCACCAAAGTGCAATAGCTCCTAATACGTCATGGATTAATGTTTGTTGCTCTAGCACTAATTCTCCATTACATTAGATATTTAGCCCGTGTTAAAGGCTCTTTCTATATAGACCGATCTTCCTTACACATATGGGTAACTTAAAAGACAGGAAGATTTCGCATGTCTCCTTTGACTCTGGTTACCCTCTACTGATATAGCTTCAGTAACAGCAAATTGAAAGAATCAGTGTGAATAGTCAACAAATAGAGAGAGTAAAAACATACAGCTACCTTGGTATGAACGTCAATGAAAGTTGGGACCATTCTATAGAAATCAAATGTAGGATAGATAAAGCAAGATCTGCATTTCAGAAATGGCTAAGCTATTCAAATGCCACGATTTATCAGTACCCATAAAAATCAGGTTACTACGATGTTATATCTTTCCTATACTGTTGTATAGAAGTCCACACGAATTGTCTGAAGAGGATATCCACTTGGAACGTTAGGACGATGGCTCAATCAGGAAAAATCCAATGCGAAAATCCAAATAAAAATAATGGGCATAAGTGAAATGAGGTGGCCTGACTCAAGTTATTGTGATATAGAAGACTACAGAGTATACTATTCAGGATCAGAAAATGGTAAATATGAGAATGGGGTTGGAATTATCACGCATAAAAGTATAGCCAAACAAGTCAACAACTTTATACCAGTGAACGATAGAATCCTCCTGTTACAAATAAATACGTCACCGGTGAACACAAACATCATACAAGTCTATGCACCCACAGCAGACCATAGTGATGAAGAAATATCAGAATTCTACAAACAAATAAGCAACCTTATAAGAGATATACCGAGACACGAACTCCTTATAATCATGGGAGATTTCAATGCAAAAATAGGTAACGGAAAAGAAGGGCAACATATTGGTCCACATGGATTAGGAGAGAGAAATCAACGCGGAGAAACAATGAGTATCTTTGCAGCTGAGCATGACTTAATCGTGCTAAACACATTTTACAAACTACCGCCTAGACGCCTGTATACGTGGAAATCACCTAGAGACAACGGAGAAGACGTTATTATTAGAAATCAAATAGACTATATGCTTGTTAACAAAAGATATCGAGATAGTTTCAACAGTGTTAAAACCTACCCAGGCGCTGATATTCAATCTGACCACAATCCTTTAGTGGGCGTGTATAGAACTAAGTTAAAGAAAATACGCGGAAAAACTGTAAAAAAACATGACATGAGAAAACTGAAATATAGCGAAGTAAAAGAAATAGTCAGCAAAACATTAAATAGAAAATTTAAAGAAATCGATAATGCAACGGAAAGCACAGAAGATAAGATAGAATCCCTTAAGAAAACAATAGACGACATTAAAGACAATTTTATGAAGAACGAAGAAGGTAAGAATAAGACATGGATGACGACAGAGATTCTGCAACTAATGGAAGAAAGAAGGAAAAACAAGAACGATAACTCCATGTATAAAACATTACAGCGAGAGATACAGAGAAAGATCAGAGAAGCCAAGCAGAAAGAACTGGAGAAAAAATGCCAAGAAATCGAAATTCCCCAAAGTAAATACGACGACTTCAACGTGCATAAGAAGGTAGGAGAAATTACAGGTAAATGTAAAAACAGAAGAGTAAGTAAACTTGTTAATGACAATGGAGAGATAATCGTGGACAAAGAGAGTATCAATGATACCTGGAAAAATTACATAAGAAATTTATTTTTTGATGAGAGAGAGAACCAGCCCCCAATACCTAGGGAAACAGGACCACCTATACTAGTGGCAGAAATAAGAGCAGCCATAATATCACTAAAAGAAGGTAGAACTCCAGGACCAGACGGAGTACAATCTGAATTTCTTAAACTTCTTGATGATGAATCTTTAACGAGTACTATGTAAAATCTTCAATAATATCTATGACACAGGCAATATCCCAAAAGATTGGCTACTTTCAGAATTTATTACCTTACCAAAGAAACAGGGAGCAAAAAAGTGCGGAGAATATAGGCTAATAAGTCTAATGAGCCATACATTAAAACTTTTTCTTAAAATTATACATCGTAGAATATACAAGCTATGCGAAGAGAGAATACAAGACACACAGTTTGGATTCATGAAAGGCGTACGTACAAGAGATGCACTGTTTAGTCTACAAGTATTATTTCAAAGATGCAGAGATATTACTTGCGATATTTACACCTGCTTTGTGGACTACCAAAAAGCATTTGATACAGTTCAACACCAAAAAATGATGGATATTCTAACAAAAGCCCAAATGGATGATAAAGATCGGCGTATAATACAAAATTTATACTGGAACCAATCAGCCACAATAAGAACGAATTTTGGAGGTGAACCAACGGAAATGATTCAGATTCTACGAGGCGTTAGACAAGGTTGTATACTTTCACCTATATTATTTAATCTATATTCAGAGGAAATATTTAGTGAAGCCTTGGAAAAATGCGAAAATGGAATACTTCTAAATGGAGAACGCCTAAACAACATCCGTTATGCAGACGACACCGTTATTTTTGCAGACAGTTTGAACAGTTTACAGCAACTAATAAACAAAGTAAATGAAGTAAGTGAAAGATTTGGACTTCAAGTAAATATAACAAAAACTAAATTTATGATCATCAGCAAAAATAAAGTTAGAGACGCTCAACTACTTATCAATAATACACCAGTGGACCGAGTAAAACAGTATAACTATCTTGGAACAACAGTAAATGAACAATGGGATCACTCACAGGAAATAAAATGTAGAATAGAGAAGGCTAGGAGTGCATTCAATAACATGGCCAAACTCTTTAAAAGCCACAATCTTAATCTGGAGATAAAAGTAAGGCTCCTACGATGTTATATCTTCTCAATATTGTATTACGGAGTTGAATCCTGGACACTAACTGAAGCAATGGAGAAAAAACTTGAAGCCTTCGAGATGTGGCTATACAGGCGAATTCTAAGGATATCATGGACAGACAAGATAACCAACGAGACCGTATTACGAAGAGTGGGCAAAGAAAGAGAGGTGATGTATACCATTAAAAGGAGAAAGTTGGAATATCTCGGACATATAATGAGAAACAGCACTAAATACAGATTACTGAAGGTAATCCTACAGGGTAAAGTATTCGGAAAGCGAGGAATTGGGAGAAGGAGAATATCATGGTTGAAGAACCTGAGAAAATGGTTCTCCACAACAACAACGAATTTATTTAAAGCAGCAGTTAATAAAATAATTATAGCCAGAATGATTGCCAATATTCGGAACGAATAGGCACTGAAAGAAGAAGAAGATACTGTTGTACGGAGTTGAGTCGTGGAATCTCACAGACGCTACCTGTAAGAAAATTGAGGCTTTCGAAATGTGGCTTTATCGTAGAATCCCGAAGATATCCTATACCGACCACGTCATCACGTTTGATCATAAAAAGTATCAAGCAGAGAAAGCTGGAATATTTCGGACATGTAATGAGAGGTTCCAAATATAGGTTACTACAAAATATCATGCAAGGAAAAATAGCAGGCAAACGCAGTCCAGGACGAAGAAGAACATCATGGTTGAAGAACTTGCGAGATTGGTATGATGTTGATACAAGTAGAGATGGTACGAAATACTAGGAACAAGTATTTGGTAATAGGTATGAGCATATAACGTAACGTAACGGTTACCGGTTTCTTAAAATACTAGTTCCAGTTCCATCTAGATATTTGTTCAACGACACGACGGACACAGAATGTATCAAGTCTGGTAACTGTAACTGATACTGTTACCACAGAATACTCCAGTGCTGTTACTGTATACAACACAATAACGTCGATACTCGATACCTGCGCTGCGCTTTGATATCGATATTTTGGTATTGGTATTAGGAATACTTGAGGATACCGATACGCACAGGGATTAGTTGCATTTTTTGGGTAGGTATTCTAGGTAATAGTTCTAGTTTGTAGGTACTGAGGATTGGCGGTTCGGACGTCGGGATTATTACGGTGGTGATTGTAAGATGTGAAATTAAACGTATTAAATCTGTCATAATATTGGTCCCTTGTTTTTATTATATTATTCTAGAAGTATTTTAATTTGAATTTGTTTGAGTGTAACACATATTTTCCATGAAACTAAAATAAAAGAGTATATAAATTTTCTCTGTATGCAAATAACTTTTTAATATATTGAAAATTTAAAAAGAGGAAATAAACATTACATTTGATATGGGATAATATGACCCATATAACATTCTAAGCGATATCTATTGATGCCTTTTGTTTATTTTTACGGGTGGCGTGGAGTCCCATTTATATTTTGTATTATAATAGAATATCTATTTTGTTTATGGTAAAACATATTTATTTAAATAAAAATGTAATTGTAACAATAAAACACTGAAAACTTTGTTTTCAAACTTCCACAAAATTTATTTTAAATCTTATCACTACAGCTGTTCCGGCTGATTGCCGTTCTCAAGTGATCTATTTTTGGCTTGGGTTTACAAATTTATAGTCTCTAATGAAATAGGTTGAGGAGGGGAGAACTGTTTGTCTCAAGTTGGTGATTCAGAATTATTCTTAAAATTCTTAAAATATACATATTATTTACTAAAATAAACTAGATAAGTGTACCTAATACAAAAATAAAAGAGATCGTTTAAAAAATAATACACGAGTATTTAACAAAATACAAAATATAACTTATATGTAAAATATTAGAAAAATTTTGAATTAACACATAAAAATAATAATCGCTCTAATTTATTGTCTTTCAAGCGATTTCGTTTTTCCGTTAACAATTGCCCTCCTTACAGACTGCGATCTGCGTCTGGAATAGACGTGGAGTACAGTACAAATGTAAAAAATACTAGGTTAAGAAGTAACTAGTATTTGGAACAGGTACGAACATGGAATCGGAACGTAATGTTACTGTTATCGAAAAATACTCATTTCTATCATCTATAGATACAAGCAAGCTATTTAGGGTGGCAGTGAATAAAATTAAGATAGCTATGATTGTAACCAACGTTCTGAAAGGACATGGTACATGAAGAAGAAGAAGACCACTTTACTAACAAGGACGTTTTATTATGAATGCAAAAAGAAAAAGAGTTGTTAACCACAATAAAAACAGCTAAAATTGGACACCTCGGTCACATCTAAGGAACAGCGAAAGATATGTGTTACTGTAATTGATTCTTCAAGAAAAAGTAGAAGAAAAAGAAGGACCAGGAATGCGAAGAATTTCCTGGCTGAAAAATCTACGTACGTGGTTGAACACAAAAACCACAAATCTTTTCAGAGCCGCACTTTGCAAAATACAGATTGCCATTATGGTTGCGAACATCCGAAACGGATAGGCACTACAAGAAGAGGTACATATAGCTTCAAGTAGATTACGCATATATTTGTACCAAAAATTATTCTATAACCTCTATTATGTATAACACTAAAAAATATATTTTGCAAGATAATAAATACCGTGTCATTTCAAAACCTAAAATTTATTATAGTATTATATCAGTTGCGATGGCCAAATTCCATCCGAAAATATTTCGTTTAACTATTTGTACGTCATAAGCTATGCATACTTAACTCATTCCTATGCAGCAGTGTGTTTTAGTTGTATGTATCAAAAGGAAATATTAAGAATCAACCACACTTTATTATCATTTTCAAAGTAAAAGTTTTTTATCTACAGTGCTCGTCAAAAGGCCGTCCCCCTCGTAACTTTTGAACGGTTACACTTATAATAGTGAAATTTAGAGGAACAGACGTAGAACTAGTCATAACAAAGGCAGAATGGTACGTACTATAGCCGACAAAGTAGCAGCTGTGTTAATAGGTGAATGTGGAAATAATTTCCATGCAGCGGAACGTCTTTTTAATGAAAGGTACCCCGATCGCCCTACCGAGAGCTTATTTGAGGAAGCTTCTTCGGAAGTTCTTTGGAACAAACAGGTAGTGTGTAAGATGTCAAACGATCTGGTCGACCAACAATTAGTGATGACAAAAAAATTAACATAATTTCAGAAATGTTAGTGAACTCTACTTCTACAGCCCAAGTTGCATCTATCTATGGAATCACTCAAAAGACAGTACACCGAGTGTTGGCTGAAACCAAATTTCATCCATACAAATTAAAAATTGTACACCAACTTTCAGATGATCGAAGACTAGAATTCTGTCAAAATATGTCTAATAAAATTAAACCAACAGCCCAATTACATAAAAACAATTTGTTTTAGTGACGAAATTACTTTTTCGCTCAATGGAAATGTTAACGCACACAATGTGAGGTATTGGAGTGACACATCCTCACGTCTTTCGTGAAACACGTACTCAATTTCCAAAAAAAAAATGTTTGAGCAGGTATTTTGGGAAACCACATAATTGGGCCTGTTTTTCTCAATACTAACTTAAACGGTGAAGTGTATCTGTGGATGTAACAAAATGCAATTGAACCGTTAATACTTGAAATTCTGGAGGATAATCCAGATGAATACGGCAACTTGGAAATAACGTTTCAACAAGATGATGCTCCTGCAAACCATTATAGTGCAGTAAGACATTACCTAGATGAGGAATATCGTGGTAGATGGATTGGACGACTAGGTACGATAGAATGGACAGCTTGATTACCGGACCTCACACCATTAGATTTTTTTCTGTGGAGATACTTAAAATCTAAAGTTTACGCTACAGTACCCGACAATATTGATATTTTGAAACAACGAATTGTTGACGAATGTAGGGCAATTTCCCCGACACATTTGAACGACTACGGCTAGAGTTTAGAAATATAATGCATTACTGCCAGGAAGTAGATGGAACTCATTTTGAACACTTACTATAAGAACTGATTGTTAAATATGTAATAATTAAATGAGAAGGTACAATTTTAGTATTTATTTAATTTGTTCATCAATAGGTATTTCAATACCTTTCACACGAGATATCATTTGCCATAAGGTCCCATTTAAAATTATCTGTCACAGTGGCGCTGTAACGTCATCTGTCACTATTACATCACCTGTTATGACTAGTAGACTAGAAGCCTCCGTCTGTTTTTTACCTCCCTAAAAAATTTCACTATTATAACAATAACCATTCAAAAGATACGAGGGGGTGAACGGACTTTTGACTAGCACTGTATATTTTTTTTTATATATTTTGACGTATTTTTGAAACCATTTTTTTACAGGTTACCTCCCATGATGCGATGTGTGGCAAAGGTATCGATAGACATCTTTTCTGTCTGTATGTAGTCTCGAAATATCTAGAAGTAGACTCTCCCTTCCTTCAAGAAGTGTTAAGCGAGCCGTGGAGACTGTCCACCTCCCAAACTCCACACGGCCAGACAGCTCGCTTCGATCTAAAGAAGCATCCAAAATGCATTTCAGCCGGAGGCGGTTTTGGGCCAGTGGCTGACGACGGTTATGGTGTGTCGTACATTATAGCTGGAGAAGATCTGCTGTTCTTCCATGTATCGAACAAAGAGAGTTGCCCGACCACGGTAAGTTACTTTTTTGTTGATTAATATTAGTTTTTTCGATGTCCATAAAATCTTACGAAAGAATTGCTATTGGCGACGTGCAAGTACTTGGATGTGATACGAGAAACGATCGTGCGCGAGTAGCTGAGAAATCTTGCATTTTTTACTGCAAATTTCATAGATTTCATAAATTCATATTGTCAATTGTCATAATTGATGTTCGTTTGTTTACTTACACCTTCTGTCACTGAAGAAAATGAGATTTAGGAAATGCTGTGTTATAAATTGTAAAAATACAACAAAAAATTGTCAATTTAAGTTTTATTCGTTTCCAACTTCGAAGCACAAATTACCACAAAGAGAAAAGTGGATTTATATCATAAAAAAGCATAAGTAACATAACCTCAATTATGCATTATTCTTGCGCCTGATTTGAAAGTCAGTTTGAAATAAATAATAAATAAAAGTTCACTTTTAAGTGTAAATTTTAGTTTCATAACACTCACTTAGAGTTCATTTTAACCCAAAAATCAAGTTTAATGTTTAAATTTTATTTTTTTGAAGTTTACAAAAATGCATCAAGTTCAAGTTTTTCTGAAGATGCATTAAGATATATTCGCTGTCCAAAAGTTTACAAGGAAAGAATTAATTGTTCAAACCAATATGATGATATCGTGGGCTTAACCTGCTACTTTATGCATTTATTCATTAGCATTATTTATGGTAATTTATTTTTCTTAATTCTTCCACATAATTCTTCCATTCTTTTTTGACATTTGCCACTACTAAAGCTTTTCCATTTGACTCAGTACTTGGTTGAAAAATTATTTGGTGATTTACTTTCTAAAATCCAGTTTTTATTATTGCATCCATATTAACAGTAATGCTGTAATTTAATAATATTTGTATTTACACTACATACAACGTTTACCTTTTAATAACATACCGACAATACCTCAATCTTACTTTTTCTTCTTATTCTTTTTTGGGCCTACGTCCTTGACAGTTATCCGGTAACCTCGATCTAACATGAAAGCGCAGTAAATTTTGCTTATTTACGACACCAGGTGTCGCTGTTCCGAACTTGCACGGTCCCAATAGTAAAGTCAAGCAATTGTTGTTAATTAATGACCAATAATTTTGTTGATTAATCCCCAAAGCTGGTTCAAGTCGACCTTCGTAACTATACCAAAAAAATTAAACGCAAAAACATACGAAGACTACAGAATAATTAGCCTAATGAGCCATTTACTTAAAACGTGTAAAAAATTGTTCTTCTTCTTCATGTGCTATCTCCTCTAAGAAGGTTGGCAACCATCATGGTAATTCGCACTTTCGATACCGCTGTTCTAAAGAGTTCAGCAGAAGTGCAGTTAAACCAAGCTCTTAAATTGTTTAACCAGGAGATGCGTCTTCTTTCGCGACTCCTTCTACCCTGTATTAAAAGTGATACATAACACAATATATAAAGAACGTGAAGAACAAGTTTCATGGACACAATTTGGATTCCGCGATACCTTAGGCACCTGAGAAGCTCTATTCGCTATACAAGTGCTTATCCTAAGGTGCAGGGATATCAACTGTGGTGTATATATTTGTTTTATCGACTACAAAAAGGCATTTGATAGAATAAAACATGACAAGCTCATATCCATCTTTAAAGAAACGGGCTCGGATGATAGAGACTTGCGAGTTATACAGATTGAACGAAATAAATTCGGAACATAGGAATATAATGTATTTCGGCTCAATTCTGCTGTAAGTGGTTGGCCAACAAAATATTGTCAAATAATTACATTATAAAAGTCCCACACTTCAGCGGGCTGCTGGATTCTGAACTCATAAAAATTGAAAGCTACACATAAATCTACGATTTTATTATGCTGTCAAACCAGTTATAGTCCAGGAAATGAAGCATTTCACCTCGCAATTTTTTCGTGCTGCGTAGATTGACTTGCAATTTAACAGAAGGTAATAGCCTAAGGATCAAGTTGTGTGGTTGCCACCCCATCTCCGGGGTGAAATTTTTTTTTACGTTTTAACTACAGGTTTCGATTAAAAAAGTGATTCTTAACAAAAAATGTGCTATACATTTTTTTTATAAAATGATATTTTTCAAGTTATTCGCGATTGAAAGTAACGTAACTTTTAGACGAAAAAATCCACGTTTTTAATCGATTTTTCGCGAATAACTCGAAAATGGTGCATTTTATCAAAAAAATTGTAGAAAACAAATTTGTAGCTTTTAAAAAGACAAAAACAATTCATTTTTTAAAATATTTTTGCGATATAATAGGAACCGAATACGGCCTATCAATGTTCAGCGGTTTTCTTCAAATGCCAAATTTGAAAGATTCAAAGTCAAATATCGGGAAAATGATGCATTTTTGGAAGAAAACTCACAAAACCTTTTTTAAAGAGCGTAAATAGACCTATCATAAAAAAAGACTCTAGCTCAAAAATTGAGTGAGTTATGATGAAAATAAGGTCAATACCTCATTTTTACGAAAAAATCGATGAAAACAACCCCCTAACCACCCCCATAATTAAAATCGATCTTCACCCTTCTGCAATTCCCTTTGTACATATATTGTTAATACGTCCGTTTGACCCATTTAAAATGCTTAGTTTTAGAAAAAGTACAGCTTAAAGCGAGAAACGATTTACAATTTCATATTTTTTACCCTTCTTTTTTTAAATATGCCCGAAAACACTGAATATATGAAAAAAATAAAAATTACCAAATTTTTCGAGCCCTTTAAACTCTTCCCAAAAACCAAGGGTTCCAAAAAGATTTAATTCACAGATCCTTGTAGCTCTTAAAAACCTCTACAAATCGTTTTTGAAGAAACACTCTATCGTTAAAAATTAAAGGAAACACGTTAAAAAAACCAGTTAATTTTTTTCCGGAAAATTCCATTAGTTTAGTACAGTACATTTCGGAGCATAATAATCTACAAAACCGGTATATTAGCTAGTATGGCGTTATACATTCGAAATTTTAAGCGTTCTTATTTTGAAATCTCATACAACAGAATAAAACATCTGCTCATATGTCTAGGGCTTGGCAATGAAAATATCAGAGCAACAGATTGGGGATGGTATTCCAAAAATGGTTTGTTATTACCCGTACGCATGAACAAACAACCTGCACCCGATGAACTTTTGAAAATTATTTTTTGCCAATGCAAAAAAGCATGCGGCCTTTCATGTGGGTGCAGAAAAGTTGGTTTATATTGTAACTCTACTTGTTCTGGGTGCTCAGGTGAAGGGTGCAATAACAGTCCACCAATAATTGAAGAAGATGAGGATGACATAGATCACGATAAAGATGTAATTGATGACGAATAAAATTAATATTATAATTGTTTTACCTATAAATGTAAATATTTTCAACTATTTATGTAAATGTATAAGAATATATGGTGCATTTTTATGTTGATAATTTTTTTTGTATTTAATTCTACTTTTTTCAATTTATATCTTATAAATTAGTTTATAAAAACTGCAATGTTGTAAAGGGTGATTTTGAAAAGGTAGTTTAAAGGTAGTTTTTACCCCTAAGAACAATCAGGGTTCATCGGCATGACATAAACTATAAAGTAGAGGGTGAGTTGAGCTTAATTCCAAATTTTTATGCAAATCATTCCAAGGTGAAATCATTTTCTTCGCATTACTAATTTTTTTATATTAATCTCTAATAAGGGTCGCTTTTTAAGGGTTGAAATATGATGGAACTTTATTCAAAAGTACGAAACTATCATTATTTAATTAATTCAAACCAAATTTTACCCATATTCAGGTTTAATATGTTATTTTATAATTTTTGACAATTAGGGGTAGTTTTCACCCCTAAGAACAATCAGGGTTCGTCGACATGACATAAACTATAAAGCAGCGGGTAAATTGAGCTTAAATCCAAATCGATCCAAGGCGAAATCATTTTTTTAGAATTAGTAATTTTTTTACATTAATCTTTAACAAGGGTTGCTTTTTAAGGGTTGAAATATGATGGAACTCTATTCAAAAGTATAAAATAATCATTATTTAACTAATTCAAACCAAATCTTACCCATATTCAGGTTTAATATGTTATTTTATAATTTTTGACAATTAGGGGTAGTTTTCACCCCTAAAACCCTTCAGCGCACTTCGATTCAATATAGATTTTGATCCTTGGGCTATCACCTACCTTCTGCTAAAATTTCAACTGGATACATGCAGGACGAAAAAATTGCGAGGTTTTAACTTTTTTCGAGCTTCATTTCCTGAACTATCTTCCTTAGACAAACCCGTCTTACGCAAACAACTTTGTTGCGAGACAGATAGTTGAACGATATTTTATACAATGTCTATACACAGGTATGAATTTATTTTTGTCCAAGTTTTATATTGGTCCACTATTTCAAATGCAGTTCAAACAGACATGTATTAAATTGTATGTTCCGTTTTAATTTGGTTCAATCTGTATATAATTTATATTACAACCAAACTGCCAACATTAAAGTGGATGGCCAGTTGACAGAGACAATCTCCATAGATAGAGGAGTGAGACAAGGATGCATTAGGTCTCCAGTGCTATTTAACATGTACTCGGAGCGTATCTTCGAGCAAGTACTGTGACAACTACAGGAAGGTGTCTTAGTTAACGCAGTGCGTTTAAACAACATTAGATATGCTGACGACACAGTAGTTTTTGCAGATGGTCTAAATGGTTTACAAGCAATAATGTCGCGCATATTAGATATAAGTCGAGAATATGGACTGGATCTCAATACAAACAAAACAAAGTACATGGTAGTTAGTAAGCGTGAAATATTAAATACGCACCTTTTGGTAAAACAACAGTTAATTGACAAGGTAAACAGCTACAGCTAAATTGTTCCAAAGTGATTCTACATTGAATTTTTTCTCGGTGATTTATTTTCATTCTTATTTTTGCTAGTACTTCTTTGTGTTCACTCCCTGCGTCTGCTGAATTTAAAATTAGGATATCTAGAATCTGCTTTGGGCGGATTTTTCTATTAGTGACTAGATTTGTACCCCCTGGAGTTTTTAAATGTTTATTTATACTGGAGCTTAAGTTCTCCATTTGCGTTGACATGGTTTTCGCTAAATCTTTGTGTTACTCCTGGAACTATTTAATTTCCGATTCATGCATTAAAGTCACCCATAAGAATTAAGGGTTCTTCATGAGGTATTTCACCCAGAATGGTTTGCAATTGTTCGTTGAATTCCTCTCGTTCCAATTTCGTTTACAGTCCTCGGGGCTGTAGATAGATATGACTAGATATGATAGATTTAATTTTTGGTAGTCCCTTGTGATGTCAAATTTTATCGATGTTAATAATAATGTATAAGCACTATACATTCCCTTTTGTCAGTTGCGTTTCTTTCGTACTTTAAGTCTTTTCATATCTTCCTTAACTTCGTGCTCCATTTGCTCTCGGTCTTCCTCTTTGCCTTTTGTCTGCCAATGCTCTAGATCAGTGGTTCTCAACCTTTTTGTGGCGACGGAACACTTTTAATTACCGAAAAAAATTGCGGAACACCAAAGCAATAACATGCATATATTGATAAACAAATTAGGATTAGCACATAAATTCTGTAATAAACTTTATTATACGTACTCAAATTTGTAAAATTTTACTTGAAATATGAAAACAAAAAACGTTTTTAAAATTAACAAAAGCGTAATTCTCAAAATACATCATATGAGTAAATACTTCAAATTAGTGAGACACTTGTGCCTGGTGTCGTTTGCAAATTTGCTCAATATCAGGCCTGATGTGGGAAAGAGCTACTCTCATTTCTTGTTCTAAGTTTAGCAGCCTTTCCTGTTTCTTATTTTTAATGTTTGTTAAAGATGAGAACCCATATTCACATAAATAGGACGTTGAAAACTGTATTAAAATACTAATCGCTTTTTTGGCAAGAAGTGGATATTCCTCTTGGACCAAGATCCAAAATTCCTGAACATTCACTTCTGAAAACTTAATTTTCTGAGTACGATCAGATGACAACGAAATAAATTCTTTTTCTTGGTTCAGAGAAAACTGGAAATTGGCTGTATTACTTGTGCTAAAAGGACTTCTTATCCAGTCATATTTTTCTACGTTCAGAGATGGAAAATACCTGGCAATTGTCTCCTCTAATAGTGATAAGTGTTCTGTAACTATATGCGTGATTTCTTGTTCTTTATCTTCATCACCTTCATTCTGAAGCAGTGGAAACATATCCATTTTATTTGTCTCTAAAATGCGCTTCTTCCAAAATGACAATTTTTTCTGGAAAGCTGACAGCTTATCCTTGGATGATAAAATATTTTCATTTTTGCCTTGCATACTTGAGTTAACGCCATTTAAATAATTAAAAATATCGGCCAAATATGCCACTTAATGCACCATGCATCATTTTCAAAATATGTGGTAAATGTGTCATTACCTTCTTCTTGGAAAAAAGTTAACAGCTCCGTTCTAAGTTCATAAATTCGACATAATACTTTGCCCCTTGACAACCATCTAACTTCGGTGTGCAGCAACAAACATTCATACTTTGATTCCATTGAGATGCAGAGTTGTTTAAAAAGACGGGTTTTTAGTGGTCTTGATTTAATGTAATTCACGACATGAACCATTTGGTCTAATACAGATTTCAAAGTAGCTGGTAGCGTTTTTGAAATTAGAGATTCTCTATGCAAGAAACAGTGCGTAGATATGATATTTTCATTTCGTTTTTTTTGCAAGGGTACAAAAACCTTTTATGGAGCCTACCATGGAAGGGGCACCATCCGTACAAATTCCTACGCAAAAGTCCCATGATATATTTTTTTTCTCTAAATATGACGTTATGGAATCAAATACATCCTGACCTGTTGTACGTGCTGTAAGTTCTCTGCAGCATAAAAACTGATTTACTATTTCACCTTTGTCGACAAATCGAATAAATCCTAATAAATGAGCTTTGCCACTAATATCAGTGGATTCGTCCACCTGCAATGCGAAGTTTTTTTTGTAAAGTTTATTTGTACCTTTTTCCTCAATATCTGCAGATAAATCAACAATCCTCCTTCTTATTGTATCATCCGACATAGGAATTTTCCGTATTTCGTTTTGTGCATCGTTGCCAAACATAATTTTGATCATCTCACAACATGCTGGTAATATAAGAGATTCTGCAACAGTGTGTGGTTTTTGTTTCAAAGCAATTAATTCGGCGACCTTATATGAAGCTATTTGTGCTTTGTCGGAAATTGTTAGCGACCTTTCAAATTGTTTCGCTTGTTTAGCTTGTGTCTCCAAAAGTCGCTTGAAATAATCTTTATTTTTTGAAGCTACACTAGCGTGTTTGGTAGTAAAATGGCGTTTTAATTTAGCCGGAGCCATTGCGCTATTAGCGAGTCTGCCCACAAACAATACACATGGGAATTGGACAGTCTTCTTCCCCAGTCCAAATGAAGCCATAATCCAAATATTCATCCAAATATTGCCGGCTCAACATTTTTTTGCTGCGCTTCGATTTGTCATCAACCCCACTTCGTAAAGTTCCAGTATCTCCGCTGGTGCTCGCTTCATCATCATTAATTATGAGTTGTTCCACAGTAGTTTTTCTTTTAAGTTTGAGGAACTTATCCATTTTAATTTATTCGTCTCTAAACAAAATAATACGGATGAATGCTTCACATTTTGTATAAAATATGCAATTACTTACCTTTGATAGATAAGCCGTACGTAAACGTTATCATAAAAAAACTGACACAGCGATTTTCACGTATTACGTTTGTGCAATGTAACAAATTCAACATTCAGTTGCAGACTGTGGCGTGGGTGACTCAGATTGGCTGTGGCCACTGCGGAGCTCAGCGCTCAGCGCTTATAAAATCCAACGTGTACACTGTGCCGACGCGGTGTTGTCACGTTGGGCAAATGAACATTTACGCTGCAGAATTTTATTAAATTAAAATGTACGTAAGTGGCTATTTTAAAATTTGAAAATATTTATTTGAAAAGAGTAATTTAGCAAAATGGTATGTAGGATTGCGAGTATTTCGCGTAACACTTGGAAAGAATTCGCGAAACACCGGTTAAGAACCACTGCTCTAGATAGTATTATTCTGGGAATTCTAGATAGAACCATTCACTGAACATGGCGTTTGCCACTGAATAAGTCTTTGAGCTTTAATTCCTGCTAATATGTTAGGTTCTTAATAGCCCAGTTAGTTCGTTTTTCTATTTGTTCTTATCAATTACCAATAGTGACTCTTGGTGTTTTCTTGTTTTTTTGTTGTGGCCAATGTTTCAGAAACACTCACGATCGGCCTTATTACGGTCTTGTTGGTTCTTGGTTTTGATATTGAGAGAATATATAGCGCGGTTCCCGGCATCTCTTTCTATTGGGTTGGATTTATCGACCACGTGACCTTCCCATTGACCATTTAGGTCACGTGGTCGATAAACCCAGCCGATTAGAAAAATATGAAGGGACTACTTTGCATCAGTTTTCTGTCGAACTGGGGGAACGTTCATGTATTGCAACAGTCAGTTGCTTTAGCATCTTAAAAAAAAGAAATCTTGTTAAACGCGCTAAAGTCTTAAGGCTTAAAATGTATACCAGTAACTGGAGGTACAGAATTCTCAAATACATAAAGTTGCTGTTTAACTCACATCGAAAAACCTGCAATAGAAAACTAGTTTTTTATTGATTGATAGAAAACTTGCTCTTCTATATTTTTCACTTCTTTATTCAATAGTTAATTAAAGATCTGATTTGGACTAACTATATTTTCTGTTTACAGGATTGTCACCGTTTCGCAAGGAACATCGAGCGAGCTCTTGCGGACATAAGACAAACCTTCTTGGATTTCAAAGCTCAAAACGGAAAAAAGTAGAAGTTTTGAAATGAATCCTAGCGGGAATCGCAACCGATATATATATATTTTACTACAAAACAACTTTACATAACATCATCTCTTTGTTTTACGATATTGTTTATCTAAATATTTATTAAGTAGATATTTAAATGTTAATATTGTGAGTCGGCAATAATTTTTCGAGTTATTAATATGCTTTTAGCTTTTTACAAATCGATTAATAAATAACTAGAGACATCTACAACTAGACGGATTTAGAAAATGGATAGATCTTGTTTGTCACCAACAAGATCTCATCACTAATATGAATGTTATTTACATACTTGCGTCTACATTTCACAATATGACTTATTCTTTGAACTTGAAAATCAAAAATATCTGTTGAAGTATCGCACCAAAAAATCAATTTGTGCCCTATTACCTTGAGAATCCTTCACAATTATGTCTATTATATCTAAAAATAATTTTACAAAACTTATAGTACTGTATACCACATTTTAAAGTAGAGCCTTTAAAATTTTGTTATTACTGTTTTTTCTTAGGTGCGTTTCGAAGACGACTTCTTAAGGTATTAAGGTTGTGATTAAACTTATTTAATCAATGACAGTATGTCATTTGTCTGTATTGGTACCAAACAATTGATCAAATCGAATCAAATTTTCTATTAATGATTTTAGTGTATATCACGAGAAATTCTGGAAGAAACTAATGTGATGGTTACGACAAAGTAATTGTTTAAAATAGCTAATTTTCTTTTAATATTGGTTTTTATTCATTTGTGCAAAAATTCTCTCTTTTTTTTTTAGTTTTTGTTGTCAGCGATTCAGATTTGATCTTTTCCAGTGACGAATCCAAAATATTTGTAAAGATTATGTACCATTAATGCTTTATTCGGCAGTGCTCCAGTTTTATTTCACCTTTTTTCTAACAATAAAAAGCTTTGACGCATGCGCAAAACATTTTAGTAACCAAAACTGAGTCAGCATTTATCCAATAAATGCTAACAAATTAAATTTTTGGTTTGTTTGTGAAAATTGATAGCATTATGATTTAGCCACGGTTTTACAATTTTCCAGATCTTTAATCAATAAGTTTCCTTTTGCACCCCAAAACACTAACGACATGACCTTTTTCTTTAGTATCATCGTGATCGCCTTCTTTGGAGATTTTATCCACTGTTTAGACTGCTATTTGATTATGGATGTATAGTGTATAAGTCACGTTTGTTGTTCTTAAAACAAACCAAACGCTTTTCAGAAAGTGTCATGCTAACGGATTTGTGATAAATAGCGATGGAAGATGTGACTTATGCATTTCTTTAATATCCTGTAATTTGTCAATGATTTCCGGTGTAATAATAAAAAATTATTTTACGAAGAATCATCACTGCAAAATAATCTTTTTTTTTTTCTTAATAAACATGTACACTCAAATTAGCAAAGCTTTAAATATCTGCCTACAGTTAACTGCTGTCTAAAAGGACTTACATTATGAGATCTACTATCACATGTATACGTAGTACTGAGATCTCTTAGCAAGATCGATAACTTATCAGACTGCGCGATTTTTTTAACAAAGTTTTTATAATTAATTAAACAATTAAAAATTAAACATTTTAAAACTAATGTTAAATTTTTAACTTTTTTTTAATTGTTATTAAATTCCATACCTTTTAATACAGCTAAAATTTATGACATATATTGTAACAATACCTACCAATCTAAAAGCCCACCGTTAAGCAACTGTTTTACCACTTGTGTGGTATTATTCATAGAAGAGATTTCAACAAAATAATTTTTCCCCTAAAAATTTTGAACCAACCTTTATTCCAGCTAGCCGTGAAAGGTAGATATTATTTGGCGAAATTCATTTTTCCTCTTCTGAGATGGGCTTACTCTTTGTGTATTTAAAAACCGCACTAAAAACAACAAAGATGGTGAAGTGCAGTTTTTACAACTCTTCAACATTTACAATTACTACAACTCTTTTGTACAAAGGATAATCGTGTCAAAATCCTTGACAACTAGCATGGAAGAGGGTTTATAGGTGAAACAGCAGAATAAATAAGAGGGTGTTTAAATCTACTGGCGATATTCAATCAAAGTTTGTTTTAAGTATTACTTGTCAATCTTATACAACGCCAAAATATATTGTTGATAAAATTAAGCAGTGGTTACAATTTCCAACGTATCTCATTGCTACCTTTCTCATTTAAACTAGTCCTTCATTTTATTAATTATATTACCTTTACCAGCAACGTACATTTATGATTGATGTAAAGGAGAAGTTCATTATCAAATGTTGCAGGTTTAACATTTTGATCGAGACTATTAAATATCTTGACTTTTGTATTAATCAAAATCAATTCTTTAGATTTGTGCGATATGTCAAATTTTAAATAATCACAGATAAACTGATGAATGCATTTCGATTCGAAAACTTACAAAAGTGGAAAAAAACTTTACTCGTGAACTATTAATTATAACTAGAGCAATTTTATTAACGGATTCATGATCTGACTAAACAAATGCATCTAAATAATTAGCTCCGGTAAATTTGGACAACTTTTTACCGAAAAAAGTTATTTCGGTTCATTCATAACTTTTGTACCCTTACCTTTTGTACGTACCTTGAAAGAGGTATCAACTGTTTGAAATGTCTTCCCAATGAATATGGCGAGTAAATATTTATTTTTTGTGGCATTCTCGAAAAATTATTGTTGACTTATTGTTATGCAAAATCAATGCAATGGTGACTTAGATTTAACCGAGATTTGTTGTAATGTTATTGTTTATATGGATTTTTGTGGTGATTTTTTGTACGTGTGTACTACTGAGAGACAAATAAAGCATCATCATATTAAGAGAAACAGCAGTTTGTTTTAATATTTTTTTAGGTATGTAGTCCTTTTAACTGGAGGTAACTAAAAATATCGACTTAATTGAGCTGCTTATTTTTAAGAAAAGACAGTGTTTTAGATTAACATTTTAGCTCAGTAACTTAAACAAAATGACTTCAAATTTTTAAGTATGGTATCACTAGGCACAAATAGCTGAAACCTTCAAGGTCATTCTATCCGGTAAATTGATGAGCAACTATTCACTACTGTGAAAGTAAGAGAAACATTTTTTTTTGTGTGTGTGTTTTGGCTTGGACAATTGTCATTCAGCCAGTCTCAATCAAGATAAGTTTATTAATGTAGTGTGTGTGTGTGTGTGTGTGTGTGTGTGTGTGTGTATTTGTGTGTGTAGAGTAATTGTCTTGATACTTAGCAAAGTCGACGTCATTGTCTTTGCTAAGAGACGATAATTGTATCCGAACGTCTGCGGTCCCTCCGGTGTGTACCGATCACACAAGGATAAAAATTATTTTCATTTATTAATTTTTTTTTAATAAACGAAAATTTCCACCCAGGTGGGATTCGAACTCACGACCTTTAGGTTTAAAGGCAGGCGCTCTTACCACTGAGCCACAGAGGGGGTTCAAGAGAAACATTGGACACCACTTTTAGTCGGTTTGCAACATTGCCAGATAACTTCGTGATTCGTAAAATAGTTATTTGTAGAGTTTTCATACAGTACGTTAAGTTCATGATTAGATATTGCAAACTACATAAAGCGTTAAAATCGGCAACATTGCTTCGTACGAGGTAATTGTAATTGTCCGATCCCCTCCGACATATTAGCATTAGACTCCTAGACAGAAAATGACAAAACGAAAACCATTTAGTAACACATAGCAATGCAAGGGATGTGCATCTACGTCCGTCGATTTTTGTTCTGTTTATGTATACCAGGTTCATTTCTTACAACATAAACTCGATAAAAATACACTGACCATTATCAGGCGGTGCATTTCTTTACAAACAGTAAATTTACTGTTTTTGAGAACGATTTCCGAAGTGGAAATTGAAACGTCAATAAACGTATTTTAACCTTTAATTGTGGCTTGTAGGTATTTGGTAATTGTAGGTAACGATGAAGCAGTCAATTATAACAGAAACGTTGTATCTGGATATCTGCATCAAAGCTGGGCGGATTGTTTAATAAAATAATATTAAGATATTGTTACAAAAAATATATGTAATGTGTAAAATATCGTTGCAGTGTAATATTACTTATGTTCGAATAAATGTATAAAATAGCTTAGTGTATTATTTTCTCCCAATATTCATTCCTCCAATAAAAACAATTCCTGAAAAGATTTATACTGTTATCAAGGTATTTGAACAAAATTATTTTTCGTATTTGAAAAGATTTAGTATTGAATTAAATGTTTATCTTTACTTGTTGGCTTCACTAATAGATGCCATCACTTAAGTATGGTACGGGAGTTGCGAATTTTAGGTACTTAAGCAATACCTTAAAGAGATGGGTTAAAGAGGGCGGGCGGGTTGTAATGAAACCGAGCCGAAATGAAATTTTAAGACAAAACTTGAAAGAATCGTTGAAGATTTAAGTAAATTATTTTTATTCTTTAGATTTTTTATATTTTTAACGAAATGGGGTTAAAATTAAATTTCTTCTTCATTTTCCTTTATTGGTAAATATCCCAGGAGATAATTTGCCCAGCTAATTCAGGGGGGTATTCTCAACTTGCTCTAGACAATCGAATATCCCCATATAACACTAAATTGGAATTAGGACAGGAAAGTAAAAGACATTTTAAATTAGATTATTTATTTTTACAAAAATAGAAAATTTATTAAAATTACGTAATATAATATATGCCTATATTAAATATAAATAAGTCTTTTATTTTTAAGACCACCACTAGATATTTAAAAATCTTGCCGACAGACACTTTTTGCATGGAGGTGATACTTTTCTGTACAATTTCTAGTAGTCTTTGGACCATTCGTAGTTTTTCATAGATTTCTGAAAATAAAAGCCTTAATTAACAAAAGATTTTGTAAAGACATAACAGAAAAAGATAAATGGAATCAATTAGCCCTTTCAGTCACACTGTACCTCAAGAGGTACATTTATTATGATGTCAAATATCAATGGGAATTGCCTTATCCCAAGAAAATATTTTGCAGGTCAAATATCTTGTCTAATTAGTAGACACCTGAATTCTGCACGCGATTTTGTTTTGGCTTGACAGTTATAAATAAATACTATGGTTATAACCCATGGACATATAAATTTATAACTTGATTTGCAATAATTAGTTCGTTTGAGTGACATTTGCAAGAGGTGAGGACAGTCTGTTTGTGTATGTTGTTGTTGCTGTTTATTTTCGAGAATAAACGCGGAAATATGTTTGATAGGTAAGTAAACACTGTAATTTATCATAGTATGTATTAATTTCTAAAATGTAGATGATACAAAGTAGTAATAGTAATTGGGCACCCCAATTACAGGTACCTTATGAGGTACAAACTGCTTTTAAGGATGTTTTTTGTTACAAAACAAATAATACATATTTTCGTGTAAAACATGTTCTTTCAAAAAATATTTATTTTCAGAAATGGCTAAATATAGTAAAAAACCACTTACACATGAGGAGTTACTATATTATCTTGAAAATGACGACGACTTAGATATTCCGGATCTTGATGATGAATATGATGGAGGGAAGATGATACTCAAATGGAAACTAATGATGAAATAGTTCAATTTTTGAATGAAAGTGCCCGTTCAGATGAAAAAGAAACTAATTCTCAAGATCTAGAGGATGATTTGGAGCAAGAGCCAAACAACGACCAAGAAGTTACGGAAGATGAAGTAGATCAAATGAATTCAGAAACAACTATTGAAGTATTTTTTAAAACCATGATTTTACTGAGAAAATTTGGCAGGATTTCGGCCAAACCGCAGCTGGACAGACCAGGTACTCGCCCTGGCCAATTATGTGGAATCAAACTTTCAAAAGCAATCAAAAACAACCGCTGTCTTCATCGATCTATCTGCTGCTTATGACACTGTGTGGCGACAAGGGGCAATATATAAATTAATGCGAATAATCCCATGCAGAAAGACCACTGAGGTTATTAACGCCATGCTATCCAACAGATGCTTTAAAGTTATATTGGGAGATAAGACTAGTACCCAAAGAAAACTGAATAATGGACCTCTACAAGGATCCGTGCTGGCTCCCATGCTTTTCAGCCTCTACATAGCAGACATGCCAGAAACCACATAAAAAAAGTTTGGATACGCAGACGACTGGACGCTTGCCGCAAGTCATAAAGAATTCGAGGTCACTGAACGCATTCTAACAAACGATTTAAATGCCCTAGGGAATTATTTTGGCAAATGGAGATTGCAACCCAATCCAACTAAGACAGAAGTGTCCTGCTTCCATTTGTACAACAAGATGGCCAACTATCAACCTCAATTCAATTTTGGGGATAGACTCCTTAAATATAATAAACACCCAAAATACTTGGGTGTTACACTTGACAGAACGCTGAACTTTAAAGAGCATCTTACTAAGACTGCTGCAAAAGTCCGAACTCGTAACAACATCCTGCAAATTCTCTGCAGCACTACTAGGAGCTCCTCAGCACCCACACTTAGATCGACACCATTAGGACTGGTATACCCCGTAGCGGAATACTGTGCACCAGTATGGATAAACAGTACACATACTCACCCAAGTATGTTGATGTCCAACTCAACCAAGCCATGCGAACTATATCGGGAACAATCAAGGCAACGCCCACTTACTGGTTACCAGCTTTGAGTCATATAGCTCCACCACCCATCCGCCGGGAACATGCCCTTGTCAGAGAATTTACAAAAATTAATACTGATCCTGAGCTCCGCTCCCATGTCGGAACTTCCGCCAGAGACATAAATAGGCTCCGTTCAAGACACCCGCCTCTAAAAATAGTAAAAAGGCTAGTAGATCAAAACTTTAATGTAACTGAACGGTGGAGAGAACAACGGGAGAATAACGTTGCACCAGCTAACTGGAACATGCCATGTATTACAAGCAAACCTGAGGGCTTCAACCAACCGAGACGAATTTGGACCACACTCAATAGAATACGGACGAACTGTGGCAGATGTTCTGGCTCACTTTTTAGATGGGGAAAAATACAATCACCAAATTGCGACTGCGGCGCCGAAAGGCAAACAGTAAAACACATGGTAGAGGAATGCCCGATTAGATCCTATAACGGCAACACTTCGGATTTCCTGGCTGCTACAAAAGAGTCAATCGAATATATTTATAATCTAGATGTTTGTTTGTAGAATAATATTTTTGTATTTACTGTTGTTTGTAATTTATATAATTTATATTATATGTATATATATGAACCTGTGATGTAGCCATACGCTAAATAAAAATACTGAGAAAAAGCAAATAAAATGGATAAAGGATGTACAGTACCCAGAAAGGTAACATGTTATGATCCCATTCCAGAGCAAGTTGTTGATTTAACAGCCCCAATTGATTTTTTCAATAAGTATATATCTGATGATATCTTCTCAGTAATGGCTGAGATGACAAATCATCATTCCATGTACAAGTATATAGCAAGATTTTCTCCAACGACCCCTGATGAAATAAAAACATTTATAAGGATACACGTAATAATGGAAATGTACAATATCCTCGAGTTAGAATGTATTGGTCCTTACATGTCGGAATTCCACTGGTAAAAGATAACATGCCATATAATAGATTTTCCAAACTTAGGCAAAATATTCATCTCGTGAATATAAATAACATCAAGAAATAAGCCCAAACAATGGGGAATCAAGATTTAGTTTTAGCTGGCCAAAGTGGTCTTGTATATGACTTTATAATATATCAAGAGTCCACTACAGAATTGAAGCCCATATATACCCATTTTGGTGCATCAGTAGGCGTTACAATACATTTATCTGACATAATTGCAGAAAAAGGTCATTTCTTGTACTTTGACAATTACTTCAGTACGTATCACCTCTTACAGTATTTAAACTCTATATATTCGGTGGGTACTATAAAACTAAATCGTTTTTTTTTCAACCACTGCTTCCTAGTGATAAAATCTTGAAACAACAAGGCCGAGGAACTAGTCCTTTTTTTGTTAGCAGGGATGGTATATTGATAACGAAATGGTTTAATAACAAACCGGTCACTGTGGCATCAAATTATGTAGGTATATGGACACAAGATTACTGTAAAGGATGGGATAAAGCAACTAAACAATATATAGCATAACACAATATATAAAGTTCCAAGACCTGAGGCTATAAAGCACTACAACACAAATATGGGAGGAGTAGACAAAAGTTGACTTTTTGCTAAGTATTTATCGCTCCCATGTAAGATCACGAAAGTGGACAATAAGAATGATTCCCCACGCCATAGATTTAGCACTGGTAAATTTATGGCTGGAATATAGATCTAAAGCCGATGCCCTTCATGTTCCAAAGAAAGATATTTTGAGAGAGGTAGACCTTCAGCGGAACAATTTCTCCACAATCGTTGCAAAGGAAGCTCCCCCAAAAACGATCTTATATTAGTCATGTACCAATCTATGATGACAAGAAAGAAAATTCTAGGTGTAAGATAGGAGGATGTAAAGGCGGGACCCACATGTTTTGAAAAAACTGTCAAGTTCATTTATGTATTATGAATGGCAGGAATTATTCTGCCGATTTTCGTAATAGATAGACTCTTTAAGTAATTTTCTAAATAACTATTCTTTTTTTTTGTATATTGTTAGATGATAATAATAACTTTACTTCTAGTATTAGAATAAAATTAAATAATAATTAGTTGATTTTGTTTTGGAACATCCTTAACAACATGTACCTTGTGAGGTACAAGTTGTAACAAAAAAAAACGGATGGAGGGGAAGTATTTTTTTGTTACGTATTGTTTTAGTTACCTCTCTTAAACATATCTACCAAATTTTATAATTTTTGGATGCATTTTTCTAGGTGTGTGACTGAAGGGTTAACTAGCATTTTTCGAATATTTAAAAAGCCAATTGAGATTGACA